TCCCTATGGAGTTGCGCTTGTCCCCATGGTCCAAGATACCACACCACCTCGTCCCCACCCTGGACCGAAGGAAGGGAAAACAAGAAAGGAGGGGCCCAGTCCTTTAAGGGCATGACCCCAAAACTGCACTTCTGCTCACACCTCATTGACCAGAACCTGGCCTCCAGGCCACACTTGCTGCAAGGGAGGCTGGGAAATATAGTCTTTATTCCAGGCAAAAATGTGCCCAGCGAAAACTTCTTTAACTGTGAAAGAGGGAGCTAATATATCGGGGGTGTGGGCACCACTAGTTTCTCTCCCATATAATCTTACTTCCAGTAGGCCCTTTATCACGTGGCAGACCAAAATGGACCCTTTTTAGAGAAAAGCAAATCCAAAAATGGAGGGAGGGGGTCTGAGCCATGCAAGCTCAGTTTACTCTCCCAGACTCATCAATCTCATAACAAGGAAGTGGGACATAAGCCATAGCCTTATTCCAACTCCAGGTTTCTAACTGGGGCACTACTGGCGTTTTAAGTGAGACAAGTCTGTGTCACAGAGAACAGTCCCTCCTATTACTGCAGGACGTTTAGCCCAGTAAACACCAGTACTCTTCTGTCCTCAAGCATGGTGACAACCAAAATGTAGACAGATATTTCCAACCCCCCTGAAGGAGCTGGGGCACCAGTCCTTCCATGGAAACAGGAAACACATGGGATAGGACCTCACTCTATCCAAACCTAGCCCTGGCGGGATACAGGGTCCTTTCGGCCTTCCAGCTGCCTTTTACAATTCATCTTTGTCCAGAGCCCCCCAGAACTGGCTATTTGTCCTGTTATTAATGAAATGATGCTTTACTGCTCCCCTCTAACACATCACACCCTTGCACATGTGCGCATGCGCATGCACACACCCGCACGCCAAGAGACCTGAACGATGATGTTGCCAGCAATACAGGACCTAATCTGTGCCTCAGAAAACTCATCATCCCAGGACCGGAGGAAGTGAAGCTGGCTTGGAGTGAGCGTGCCTTACCAGGGTTTGGCTTTGGACTCTCTCCTCCAAGTGGAACTCATGTTCTTTTTTCTTTTTCTTTTTTTTAACTCTAGACATTATTCAAATTTCACCAATTTTTCCATTAATGTCCTTCTTCTGTTGCAGGACCCCATCCAGGATCCCATGTCGCATTTAGTTTTCATGTCTCCTGAGTCTCCTTTGTGACAAGTTCTCAGTCCTACCTTATTTTTTCATGGTCATGATCATTTTAAGGAACACAGGGTATTTTGTAGAATATCCCTCCATTTGGGTTTGTTTAAATTTTTCTCACACTTAGACTGGGGTTCTGGGTTTGGGGGTGGGGAGAATACCATTAGGTGAAGTGGTTCTTCTTCTTCTCCTCCTCCTCTTCCACATCGTTCTCCTCCTCCCCCTCCTTTTTCTTCTCCTCCTCCCCTTTGTTCCCCAACACCCCCTCCCCTTTCTTCCTCCTCCTCTTTTCCTCCTCCGCCTTCTTCTTGAAGTATCCTTCTTATCATATTACTTCAGGGCCTACATAATATTCACATGACATCACTATAGCCAGGTTGAACTTGCTCTATGGGTTAAGCTATCTGACTCTAACGAAAGAGAATGACTCATTAGATGTTGTATCTGCCATTTGCATGCTTTTTTCCTACTTGATTAATCCCTTCCCCAAATTATCTATGGGTTTGATGATGATTTGTTATGATTTCTGCAAATGTAACTTAGCTATTTCCTGGAGTACCAGCAAGGGTTGATTTCAACTTCATCCGACCTTGACTGGACGATAAAGACAAGCTACGTATATGTCTGTTCCTTGTCTTTTTTCTTTAAATAATTTTTAAAACTCTTAATGGTTTTCTTTAAAAAAAAGCTCATGAAATAAAATTTACCATCTTAACCATTTTATTTTATTTATTTTTTTTAAAGATTTTATTTATTTATTTGAGAGAGCGACAGTGAGAGAGAGCATGAGCGAGGAGAAGGTCAGAGAGAGAAGCAGACTCCCCGTGGAGCTGGGAGCCCGATGCGGGACTCAATCCCGGGACTCCAGGATCATGACCTGAGCTGAAGGCAGTCATCCAACCAACTGAGCCACCTAGGCGTCCCCATCTTAACCATTTTAAAGGTACAGTTCAGCAGTAAGTATCTTCATATCGTTGTGCAACAAATCAGGGCTCATGTTCTTTCAGCGACACACCCAAATTTGTTGCAGTTATGTGGACAGATTTGTTTCATTTCATCATTATGTTTTTGCTGTCATCTGCAATGATGAAAGTAGCCTATTAGTGTGTAATTTTGTGGGTGGTGGTGTTTAAAAACTGAGTTGAGCTTATTTAAGTCGTTTTAAAGTCAGATGTTGAGTAAATAAATAAAAGTGCAGATGGGGTGTGACTATGGAAGGAATTAGGATGTGGTATAAGAAAGGCTGAGGTTTGGGAAACGCAGACTGCTAAATCCTCCTCCTCCCCCCAGGGCATCCCTTACCCATCCTCAGTTTCCACTAGATCCCAAACCACGCGCTCTCAAAAAAACTCTGTTTTTCACCTTTCCTTTCCTTCAGAGTTCCTTTGGAAGCATGTAACTAAATCCCAAATCAAACTTCCATGAAGATTGATGGGAATCTATAGCCTCAGATGACACAAAAGCTGAAAGATTAGACCAGCTTCAGGCACAACTGGATCTAGCTGCTTAAATGATGTCATCAGAAATATGTTCATCTATTCGCTATGCTTTCTTCTGTGTTGGCCTCCTTCTAGGTGGCCTTTGTAGCCATGGTGGAAAGAAAGCCACAGCTGCTCCACATTTAGGTCCCTTCAGCTTTGCAAGGCAGACAGAAAGAAAATACTTTACTCCCCAGAGTTCCAATAGAAGTCCTCTGTTTAATTTTCCTGGGCCTGTGTGGGCGGTGCGCCCAGCTATCACAGAAGCTCGGGGTTGAAATGCTCTTATTGGCTAGGCTTGGGTCACGTGCCCAACCCTCCCCCAATCACTGTGATTGGAAGAAGAAATGCTCTGATTAGCCAGACCCAGGCCTCCTCTCCCTGGAACCGTGGGAAGGCTGGTTTCTCAAAGCAAAATCCAGATGCTGTTACCCCAATAAAAGAGGCAGTAAGCTAGATAAGCTGGAACCCCAGACTCCTCATCCACGGATGGTTATTAATCGTGTTGCAAATATTTGCTTATCACCCGCTGGTAGTCCTGTGGCCTGGTTAGTCACCCCAGCAAGGCCTCATAAAAGTCATAACAAAAGGCAGTGTGGGTAATGCTAATAAAGATATCACCAAGTCACTTGATAAAGACTATTTTCAAAGACTTGTGGGTGAAACTTTGCCCCAGAGAAGAAACCTGGACCTCACCAGGAGGGGAAAGCATGAGCTGCTGAGTCAGATAGGAGTTCAAATTCCAACACTCCCATGACACTCACTTATTCATTGTTCATTCACTATTAAAAAAAAAAATTACTGAGCACCCATGATATGCCAGGCACTGTCCTAGACAATGTGGACACAGCCAGACAAAATCTGGACAAAACCCCTACCCTCCTGATGTTCTAAAGATGGTGTGGGAATGGGGAGATAAAGAATAAACAAGTGAATGAAGAAATGAATCATTTCAGACAGTAGCAATTTTTGGAAAGAAAAGAAAACAGTGTATCTTGCCAGCAAGAAGCTGGGGTTTCCCCTGGTGCAGGCATTAGGGAAGGCCCTTTGGAGGAGTTGCTATTTGATTTGCGAATGGAACAATGAGACGAAATCAGCCATGAGATGACTTGTGAAAGGTGCTAAGGCAAGACAGCAGCAAGTGCTAAGGACCTGAGGTGACTCCCTCCAAGAACTGACAAAAGCCATTGTGAATAGCTGTGTGAGGTTAGGTGAATTACTTAGCCTCTGTGAGCCACTGGAAAGTGAGGACGATCATTCTGACTCCCCGAGGTTGCTATGAAGATTCAATTAAACAACAATCCTTAAAGGTCAAGTGCTGTGCCTGGCATATGATAGATGTTCAATAAACGCCAGCTATCTGTTTGAGTGATACAACTATTGAGGAGGAAAGAATGGGTCCAAAGGATGAGAGAATGGAGCTTTTGTGGCTTATCCTTCCAGAATCCAAATTCAGGATATAGTATGAGCAAGGCCCCAAGAAAGGGCTTTTGAACATGCCTCCAGGACATCCTGGATACCAACAATACTTCGCATTATTTTTTTTAAAGATTTTATTTATTTATTTGATGGAGAGAGAGATCACAAGCAGGCAGAGAGGCAGGCAGAGAGAGAGGGAGAAGCAGGCTCCCCGCTGAGCAGAGAGCCCGATGCGGGGCTTGATCCCAGGACCCTGAGATCATGACCTGAGCCGAAGGCAGAGGCTTAACCCACTGAGCCACCCAGGCGCCCCAATACTTCGCATTATTTTAATAGCTATTGCCATTCATCGAGCACCTACTCTATGTCAGGCCCTCTGCTGGGCATCTGATGTCCCTGGGCCCCCCCGACTCTGAGGCAGGCACTATCGTCAGCACCCTCATTTTACAGAGGAGAAAAGTGGAGACTCTGAGCTGACAGTCATGGAGTCTGGAGCCAAGTCAGGAGGCAAGAGAGGCCCCTGCCACCTCCTATGTGATGACCTTTGGCCATTCCTCTCTGGTGTGAAGTGACAGAGGCAGGACAATTCTGCCCCACCCTCCATCTTCATCATTCTCCACGGCAGAAGGGCTGGAAAAGGGGGGCAGGGAGGGAAGAGAGCAAAACCGCAGAACCTCTCCTCCCAGAATCCCATCCCTGCGTGTTCCCCACCCACCACTACCATTAACCCAGTGATGGAGAAGAGTGCAGGTCTGGGAGGTGAATCCCCAGCCAGGAGCAGGAGCCAGGCAAGGAAGCAGGGGTGTGGCCAGGACAGGGGCAGGGCCAAAGTCACATACTTGACTGTGAAGTCTAGAAGGCCCCACTCCTGACAGGGTGACCTCCCCTGCGCGACGCCACACCTGGACAGAACGCGGCATGAGGTGTCCTCTGGACGCCAGACCGGGCCACAGCCCTGCCTGGAAGGGGCTACTTCTAACAGGTGCGTAAGGAACAATGGGTTCACCCACAGGTTGGGGACAGGGAGAGGACACCCCCAGGGAGAGTCTCTGTCCAAGTCAGAGTTGCCCCCTCTCAGAGCTCTGCCTCTAGTCAGTTGAAAGAGGCACAAGAGCTCTTGAGGTCCCCCCAAGAAGGGGGGTGTGCTCTTTTTTTTTTTTTTTTTAAAGATTTTTTTAGAGACACAGTGAGAGAGGGAACACAAGCAAGGGGGGCGGTGGGAGAGGGAGAAGCAGGCTTCCTGCTGAGCAGAGAGCCCGATGCGGGGCCCAACCTCAGAACCCTGGGATCTGACCCGAGCTGAAGGCAGACACTTAACAACTGAGCCACCCAGGTTTGACCCTTTTTACCAAGGAAAGAAGTGAGGCTCAGAGAGGGGCAGAGTCACCTGTCCAAGATAGCAGGCTGGGGAAGGTAGAATCAGAACTCAGGACCAGGACCACCCCCACCCAGCCCTTTTTCACTGAGCACCATGGCTCACCCCAGCTAGCTACATTTAATAATAATTTCTAAATAATAATAATAATAAGATAGGGGCACCTGGCTGGCTCAGCTGGTTGAGTGTGGGATTCTTGGTTTTAGAGCAGGTCACAATTTCATGAGTCGTGGGATGGAGCCCCTCCTGGGGCACCACACTCATCACAGAGTCTGCTTGAAGATTCTCTCTCTCCCTCTGTCCCGCCCTCCACTCACATGCTCTCTCTCTCAAATAAATAAGTAAATCTCTTTTTAAATAATAATAATAATAGGGATGCCTGGGTGGCTCAGTCAGTTAAGCATCTGTCTTCAGCCGGGGTCATGATCCCGGGGTCCTGGGATGGAGCCCTGCGCCTGGCTCCCTGCTCAGTGGGGAATCTGCTTAAGACTCTCCTTCTCCCTCTGCCCCTCCCCCCTGCCCGTGCTCTTTCTCTCTCTCAAATAAATAAATAAAATCTTAAAAAATAATAATAAAATAGTCATAATATCAAGAGGTCACGTGACGACTTCTCCATGCCATTCTGTTCTAAGTGCTTTCATGTTGTAACATATAATTCTTAACCCTATGAAGTAATGGCTGGATGATCTCCACTCTATGGTAGGGGAAACTGAGGCACAGAGAGGTTATGTGCCTTCCCCAGGCCACCCAGCTTAGAAGTGGCAGAGGGAGAATTTGAACCCAGATGGTCTGGCTACCAAGAAGACACTTTCCAAAGATGACACACACGCACCTCTCAGAAAGTAAATGAATTGCCTCCTTTTCCAGGTCTTAAAAGGTCTGGTTCCACGTAGTTTCAAAACCCCAAACGCCACTCTATTTCAAGTTTCGCCTCATCCCCAGCTCAGGCCTGTGTCTGACTACAGTGAGATTGTAGTGGGACATGGTGGGCCTTGGGCCGATTTCTCCGTGTGTCCTTCCTCCCCACCCAGAGATGTGGTCCGTGGCCTCCTCAGGGCCATGGGCAGAGAGGAGGAAGGCAAGGAAGGGGGCAGGAAAGCTTCTATTTGGCTACTGTATTTGTAAAGAGTGAAGGCCTTCTGTATAGTTGAGGCACCGTTGCCGGATCTGTCGGGGGGGGGGGACGACACTTTGAGGACCCTTGTCACTGCAGACTATGTTCCTGGGGCTCCATGAACTGGGCCCCACTAGAGGCTTGCCACCATCTTCCAGTGCCCTCCAGCCTCTTTCTGCCAAGGTCAGCCCCTTGGGAGCCCCATCCCATGAGGGTCTTTGCCAGACAGCCTCCACCTGGCTCCCTGCGGAGGCATCCACCACTGCCTCATGGGAAACACGAGGACACCTCTGTTGTCCCACGGAACGCTGGAGGCGTGGGTCATTTCCACTCTGGCCTCCATTCCCTCAGCCCCGCAGGCCCTTCCCTCTCCATCCCTCACTTGGAGACCTAGAGGTCTAAGTCCCTGCAAATTCCAGCTGACGCATTTCTAGTTCCCCGGGACAGTTTCCCTTGGAGTCGCCCTCACTTGGCCTGGGGAGGAGGAAAGCCCCAGGACTCCCCTCACCCCTGGGGGGAGGGCTCGAAGTTCATTCTCAACTCTCCCCCAGAGAGCCTCACTCTGGGCCTCCCCCTCTTCTCCAGGGGCTCTTGGCCTCCATTCCAGTAGACTGGCAAGGGCTGGAGTGGCCGAGGCCGGCAGAGCTAGTGATGTAATCCCTGTTTTGAGACCTCAGCCGGGCATGGAGGTTCTCGGCAGCTGCTCTTCCGCCCTCAGCCTCTGGGACCTCGGTGGAAATTTTGAGAGCCCGAGGAAGTCAAGTATAACATCTCGCCTGTGTCTCTATATTTAACTGCCGATTCGGGAAGTGTCCCTGACTGAAATAGCCATGCTCCTAAAACCTAAGAGTTCTGGAATCATCTCGATGGTTCCACCTCTGAAATTCCATCCTTTATCCTGCAGACTTAAAATACATGTGTGTGTATATATAAAATCTATATAATACCTGAATGAGACTGTCCCCAGCCCTGAAAATTCATGATCTCACTGAATGTCAGACACTGCTGGGAAATGATTACTATCAAGCACCTTCCTTGAGGTGAGCGGGGAAACTGAGGCTCGGAGCCCAGAAATAATAAGTGGCAGAGTCAGGGTTACAAACCAGGCTCCAGTGGCCTCCAAGTCTCCAAGTGAAACCACGATTCTTTTTTTTTTTTAATTTTTTAAAAGATTTTATTTATTTATTTGACAGACGGAGATCACAAGTAGGCAGAGAAGCAGGCGTGGGGGGGGGGGAGCAGGCTCCCCGCTGAGCAGAGAGCCGGATATGGGGCTGTGATGCCAGGACCCTGGGATCATGACCCGAGCCAAAGGCAGAGGCTTTAACCCACTGAGCCACCCAGGCGCCCCTGAATCCATGATTCTACAGCAGCTGAAGGAAGGGTCCCCAAGATGGGAGGTCTCCTTAAGGAGCCTTGGGGACACTCGTGGAATCACCAGGGACCTGCAATGGTGTCAGAGTCAGAACTTCACCCCCGACTGCAGACCCGGTGACCTGAGATCTTCCACTTCAATTACTTATTCAACAAACACCCCTGCTCTCTTGGGGCTCATGGTCCAGAGAAAAGACAGACCCATCCCCGAGTGGGTAGGGTAGGAATGTGGGGGCCCAAAGAAGATGAAGCTGGGGAGGCACTGGCCAGGGAAGACCCTTTCAAAATAAGAGCTCAGGGAAATGTGATGTCACTTTTGCAAACTGCATCCCTGTGCCCTCTGTTTCATAAAAGGGTAAGAATGCAGATATTTTTCCATCAAAAAAAAAGCGACACCCTGAGAGCTCCCATCACTCCATCTGCTGAGGTCCCTGCCCGGACACTGTAGCGTCCATCACCAAGCATCCCTGAGGGTCAGGGAGGGGTTCAGAAGGGGGGTGCCTGGGCTGAACCTGGAATCACAGCTGGATGAAGAGATTCTAGGTAGGGGGACCCACGCGTGCCAAGGCCTCGAGGCCAGGGCAACTGCACAGAGCTCAGTCTGCCTGATGCAGTGAGGGAAGAGTGGTAAGACGGGCGTGGAGATGTAGGAGGGTGCTAGGTGAGGGGATCTGTGCTGTGTTCTGAGAGCACTGGGGAGCCACGGAAGGCTTATGAGCAGGGGAACAGAAAAGTCACACCAGGGGTGCCTGGGTGGTTCCATGGGTTAAGTGTTTGACTCTTGATTTTGGCTCAGGTCATGATCTCACAGTTGTGAGATCAAGCCCCGTGTGGGGCTCCGTGCTCATCGGAGGAGGCCACTTGAGATTCTCTCTCCCTCTGCCCCTTCCCCAACTCTCTCTCAAATAAATAAATCTTTTTTTTTAAGATTTTATTTATTTATTTGGCAGAGGGAGACACAGCGAGAGAGGGAACACAAGTAGGGGGAGTAGGAGAGGGAGAAGCAGGCTCCCCGCTGAGCAGGGAGCCCAATGTGGGGCTCAATCCCAGGATCCCAGGATCATGACCTGAGCCGAAGGCAGACGCTTAACAACTGAGCCACCCAGGCGCCCTGAAATAAATCTTTTTTTAAAAAGAAAAACATACCAGTTGCCCACTCAGAGATAAAAATCAGTGGAGGTACGAGGGGGACAGTGAGCCCCACCCACCCAGAATGCCCTATAACAGCATCCTATATTTCTGATCCTTAAAATGTAACCACTTATTGTATTGGGCTTTTTTTTTCATCCTTAAAAAAGTCATATTTACAGCACACCGAGGACTTGTGATTACAGAAGCAAGAACGGTTAACAGTGATGGTAATGATAACGATAATGTCAAGCATTGATCTGGCTGTCACCTAGTTGGGACACCGTTCTAAGCCCTTTACAAGCATAAGATCAGGGCTTTTCAACATCGACACTACTCGCATTTGGGGTCCAGTGCTTCCTTGTCACCAGGGCTGTCCTGAGCATGGTAGGAGGCAGAGCAGCCTCCTTGGCCTCTACCCACTGGGTTCCAGTAGCAGCCCCCCCACCATCATGACAACCAGAAAGACTTCTAGATATTGCCAATGTCCCCTGCGGGGAGCACATCATCCCCAGTTGAAAATCACTGGAGGCATTATTATTCCCATTTTAAAAATAAGGAAACTGACGCTCAGAGAGGATAAGTAACTTTCCCAAAGTCAATAGAGTTAATAAGTTTCAGGACATGCACACTGGCAGTGCAGTTCTGGATCTTACACTCCGGTGTGTGTGCATTTGTGTGTGTGTACGTGTGTGTGTGCATGTATGTGTAAAAGACTACTGAGAACATTTATGCTTTCTTATTTCCTTTATTCAAACTTTAATTTTTGAATGCGTTGTACGTTCCAACGCTTCAAATCTCAAAGATATAGAAAAGACCTTGTGACGTCTCTGTCTACTTACCCAGTACCTCTGACCCTTCTCTCCCCGCCGTCACACACAGCCACTGTTTCTATGTTTCCGGGATTCCTTTGCATGTTTATAAGAAATGCAACTATATATTTACTTTTCTTCCGTTTTTACACCAAAGGTAGCATACCATAAGAACTAGCCAGCAGCACGCATTTGTTTCTTAACTACATACCCTGGAGCTCTTTCCTTCTCAGTTCATGCCATTCTGGAGTTCTTCCTCCTCCTTTTGTACAGGTGTATCATTCCACTGTGTGGACGGACCATAACTTATTAAACCGGTTCCCTATGGGTGGGCACGTGGGTATTTCCAATCCTTAGCCATTATAACTAAGGTGTGGCAAAAGAACCCTGCCCATTAGTCATTTTATATTGAGAAAGTGTATCTGTAGAACACATTCCCTGACATTTAATTTCAGGATCAAAGGATATAGAGGGGCACCTAGGTGGCTCAGTTGGGAAAGCGTCTGCCTTGGGCTCACGTTACAATCTCAGGGTCCTAGGATCGAGTCCCATATTGGGCTCCCTGCTCAGCAGAGAGTCTGCTTCTCTCTCTGCCTGCTACTCCTCCTGCTTGTGCGCTCTCTCTCTCTCTCTCTCTCTCTCTGTGTGTGTCAAATAAATAAATACAGTCTTTAAAAACAATAATAATAACGTGCATTTCTCTTACCATGAGCACGACTGAGCATTTTCCCAATATTGACACATCTGAATTTTCTTTTCTATGAATTGCCTACCCATATTCTTTGTATATGTTTCTGTTAGGTTGCTGATATTTTCTTACTGATATCTCAGAGCTTTTTACATATTAGTGAAATGAGCCCTTGGTCTGTGAGATCTGTTGCAAACCGTCTTTCCTGGTATGTCATTGTTCTTTTGATTTGTGGGTGGTTATTTGTTGTTGGTTTTTTTTTTCCACTTGGCCAAAGTCCTTTACATTTTCATCTCAGTTGTTTCCGTCTTTTAAGGCTGGACCGTGTTCTTACTGCAACAGCCACCAATCCAATGAGAGGCAGAAGACTGGGGTGGCTGGGTATGTGCAAAGGGTCTGAAGCCAGACTCCAAGGATTCCACTCCAAGCACTAAGCCACATGGAAATTTAATTAAAGGAAGTGAGAGCAACTGGGGATGATAGGGGCACACTCACCGTCTACTTTACTGACGGAATTTTGCCTGCCTGGTTGTGGATCACAGCTCTGCTTTTACCACCTAGGACATCCTAGACAATGGTCTTCAGGTCTCTGAACTTCCATTTCCTCAGTCCTCCTGGGGGTGTAATAGTTGTGTCATTCAGGGTTGAGGCAGGAAAATGGTCTACTCAAAAGGAGTAATGGTGGGGGAGGGTAAAAAAAGGGACTATTTGCAGAGATGTAGACAGGGCATAGATAAACCCATCTGAGATCGTGCAGCACCCAGAGGCTAGTCATGGCAGAAAGCTCTTACCTCCTCTGTGCTAGAAACCCTAAGAGGAAGACCAGACCCCCCCAAACCCAAAGACAATGGTATATGGAGAGGGACCAGGAGCTCTAATAGAGGGACACGGCTGACTGGTGTTGATGGAGGAGGGAGGGAGTTGGGGGACCAGCTACCTCAAGGTCACTCCCATTGGCAAAAGCCAACCCGAAGCAAAAGACACAGGGACCTGACAATGCAGATCAAAGAAGTCAGCCTTCCAGGAAGCAGAATGGGGCAAAGAAGGTCAGAAAATGGATCGGCAGGATTCCCTGAGTAATGTGTGCTTGGTGGCGTTGATGAAGGAGTAAGATAATAAAGGTTCAATGCTTAGAACAGTGTCTGGCTTGTGGGAGGTGCTCAGTGAGTATTTCCTTTTATTTCTTTTAAGATTTCTTTATTTTAGAGAGAGAGAGAAAGAGAGAGAACAAGCAGGGGGAGGGGCAGAGGAAGAGGGAGAGAGAGAATCCTCAAGCAGACTCCCCGTTGAGTATGGAGCTCAAGCCCAGGACCCTGAGATCATGACCTGAGCAGAAGTCAAGAGTCAGACACGTGACCGACCGAGGTACCCAGGCGCCCCCACCCCCACCCCCCACCCCGTACACTATCTCTGTTATCATCACTGTTTTCGACTCTCAATGTGCCACACTCTTTGCCAGCTCGGGAAGGGTTACTTGCTGGGGCAGCATCTCGCCTTTGGTCCCATTCGCTCCCTCTGATCTCTCCTCTCCCTTCCTACCTCCTCCAAGGCATCCTGTTCTGCCTCCTTGGAGCTGCCCGCCCCTGCATCTCCAGATGCCCTGACTGAAGGAGCCAGTGCCCGCCTGCCTGTCCCCGGAAGCCCGAATGATATTCTCTCCACTTCTTGGTTCCGAGGGCACAACGCCCAGCCAGAGACTATGATCTTCTCCCCTGAGGGCCTCCCAGGGCCCAAACACACAGGCCAGGAGACGCCGGACACCCAAAGCAGCCTGATCATAGGAAACCCGACAGCTTAAGACACAGTGCCGGAAACCAACAGAGGACGCAGGAGTGCAACAGAGCAGATAGCTGACCTGGGTGAGTGGGGCCCAAAGGGACCAAGTTCTCAGGCAGAGAGACCGGTGTAGGCAAGGCTGGAGGGTCAACAGAGATCTGGGAAGCATAAGAAATTGGGAGCAGAGCCGTGTAGGGGGTGCGGGCCATGAGAGGCTTTGGGAGGTGGGCAGAGCTGGTGGTCTGCAGCACTGACTGTGCAGGGCCTGAGATTTCCACTCAACAAAACACTTACCAGCGCTGATTCTTGTGTACGCATCAAATCCTCTTTCAGTGCTTCTCTGTCCTGGGTGAGGCTGGGCTCATGAGCAGAGACATGGGAGAATCCAGCCTAGGAGACAGGTAGGGCTCACTAGGGGAGGGGCCATCTGAGCTGGGACCTGTAGGCAGAGCAGGAATTGGCCCCAGGCCGAGTGGGAGAAAGTCCTCCTACAGAGAGGTGAGCTGAAGTAAACACCAAAATGCAGGATGGACTGACTCCAACTTACTAAGCTCTCACTACATACCAAACACAGGGGATTTCACAATGACCTGAGAAAGCAGATGCTCCGAGCACCAACCCCACTGCACAGGTGGGGAACTAAGACTGAGAGGTGATGTCAATAGCCTGTGGTCACCTAGAAGCCAAAGGCCAAGCTGGGATCTATAAGACTTTTTATGGTCCTAGAGCTTATCTCCTTCCCCCATGACCTCTCTAGCCCAGCACCATCTTCAGGGTACCAAATGGGGTAGAGGTCCCCCATGCCCATGCCATGCTCAGCCCAGAGCTTGTGCAGACTCTGAAACCAGGACAGCCTTGCAAAGATGTGGTGTTCCACCTCTGACCAGCCAGGTGTCCTTGTAAATTGACTTCGCATCTGTGTACTTCAGTGTCCTCATCTATAAAACTGAGTCACAGTAGAACCTACCCCATAGAGTTGTTTTGAGGATCTCAGGAGTAAATCTGGTGTTCAGGCTTTGTTGATCATGACCCACCGTGAGAAATGAACTTCACATCGTGACCCAGTGTATATGCATACACGCATACACACACACACACACACACACACACACGAGTAAGACACGTGTCATAAAATAAGTTATTGCTATGCACAATGCATTCTGATATTTTCTATATTATAGTTCATATCACATTTCAAACACTGATTATAACTTCCTAAATGATTTCGTCCAAGCATGGATGGGTCTCACTCACTCATAACCAGCCATGAGTTAGCATGTGTTTGGAATGGTGTCTGGCTCCTTGTAAGAGCCAGATCCAAGTAGATATTACACTGATTCTTGTTTCTAAACCTGGAGTGCTCTTTCTCCTCCTGCAAAGCTTAGCTGAGACACCATCTCCTCCAGGAAGCCTTCCATGAGTTCCTGGTTGGATCTAAAGTTCTTTTCACTTTATCACATTGCACTGGAATTGGGAATCAGCTCAGTGGGGAGGCTCCCGACACTCACCACGACATCAGACTTCCAGGTCCAAATACTCACCGTGCCTCTCTGACCACAAAACCTGGGTCTAAGAACCCCTGGACCTCAAGTCTTTAACCTGGAAACAGAACTGTTATGGGTGCCCCATCTCTATAAAGAGGGTTCCCAGCAGCCAGTGGCACAGGTCCCAAGCCTTGGAGGCCCTCCCTTGACTCCTCTCTCTCTCTCTCTCTCCAATCTATCAGCAAATCCTGGGGGCTCTGCTTTCAAACTGATCCAGAATCCAGCCACTCCTTCCAGGTCCTTGGCCTTGCCCTGGGCCCGCTGAGGGATGGGCAGCTGGGATATTTATACACCAGTCCATGCCAGTCATAGCGCAGTGCCCTGGCTGGGCCCATCTCCCAATTCTCTGGCCTGCTCCCTCCTTGGCCGGAGCAGGCTCTGGCAGCCAAAGAAAGTGCCCGGGCAACAGGTGCCATGTGGCCGTTGGACATGGTGAGGGTGAGGGGCTGGGACGGGGGTGCCAACAACTACGCTACGGCCCCATGTCTGGAGCAGCACTGGACACCGATCAGGAACTCCAAACACACTTGTTGATGAATGAATGAATGAATGAATGAATGTTGGACAAGAGAAGTGCTTGGGCTCTGTGAGTGCTCCCCAACCACATGACCGTGCTCTCCATTCACACAGCCAGCTCCAACGGCATGAAGCTGCTGACATTCCCCTACGACTCTGAGGGCGTTATCCAGAGTGACCTAAACTACTCAGTGATCCTGGAGTGTCTGGCTTCTTCCATCACCCCCAAACCTGTGCTGCACTGGACCTTCAATGGGGAGCCCTACCAGACTGGGGCTAGGCTGATCATCCGGAGGCTGTCCTGGGAGCACCTGGGCACCTACGTGTGCACAGCCAAGACCAGCCAGGGACAGTACTCCTCCTCTCCTGTGACCCTCGCGCTGCCACGTGAGTCCCCCACTCCCACCCCAGACTTCTGCCTCCTCGGTTGCATTGAGTCACTTACACAGCAGTCCCTTCTGAGTGCCTTTCTAGCCAAGATGTCGTCCTCTCCTTCCATCTGCCTGGCAGAGTGGGGACTATTAGCCCATTTTACAGAGGCTGCAGCTCACAGAGATGAACTCTAACGAAAGCTCAGCTCGGGATCTGGAATCAGTTGTTTGGGTCCCAGCTCCAACAATTTGTTGGCTACGTGAACTTGACTTCTCTAGGTCTCAGCACACATCTGCAACACACACACACAATGCAGGTGTTAATGAGTGGTTCTGAGGACAGGCTTTGCAATTTGAATTCTGACTCCGCCACTTCCTAGCTGTGTGACTTTAGACCACTTCCTTGATTTCTCTGTGCCTCAGTGTTCTCGTCTATAAATTGGGGAAATAATAGCTCCCACCCCGAAATATAGCTGTGAGCATTCAATAAGGAGGCAAACAGCTTAAAGTCATAGTGCCCAGTGCTACTGAACGCTAGTGCTCAGAAAGCATGAGTTAGTATCGTAGCTGCAATTACCATTATCCATATTATTATTAATTTTGTGACCATAACTATATGCAGTGGCATGTGTGGAGCCCCAGGTGGCAGCTGGGATCAGGAAAGTGGTCTGGGAGAGGGTTAAGCCTGGGTTCAATTCCCACCCTTGTGCCTTCCTGGCCAGGTGATTTAGGATAAGGGACATCCCTTCTCCGGGCCTCTGTTTCTTCCTGGATGTAACAGGAAGTGACAACAGGGGTGACTCTGTATACCTCCGCATGACTGTCATAAGGAGCAGAAATAATACATGAGTGAGGCCAGCAGAACACCTGTTAGAAAGCAGGTGCTTTAAGGGTTCCTGGCCCATTCTGTCAGTGGAGCATGTGACTCTTGATCTTGGCCTTGTGAACGCAAGCCTACTTTAAAAAAGAAGAAGAAAGCAGGTCCTTTAGATAGCAGCTAGCCTCATGAATATTATTTTTCGTGTACTTATGCATGGAGGACGAGAGGCCTGGAGTGAGCTAGAATGGTACAAAGAACCTGGCCAGTTAGGGAAGCCAGGGAGGGATCTGGGCAGCAGGGAACACATGAGCCAAGGTCTAGAGCATGGGAAGGGCATGGGGTGATGGAAGGTCTGGCTTGGCTGGGTCTCAGAGAACTGCTACTTCTTCCCAGCCAGGCTCCAGTAGGAGCTTCAGGATTTAGTTTGGGAGTGATTCATTGGGAGAAAAAAAGGTTGAAATCCTGTAGCAGCAGGTGACTCTTGTATGCTCATTAAGAAAGACCCCCTTTATTCATTCATCAGCGGTACTAGAAATGTTTATTGGCTGCCTACTACATGACCACCCCGTACTGGGGGGTGCTGGGGACATTCTGGAAGACAGCCCTGGCCCTGTCATCAAGTAGTGATGTTTGAGTGAGGGACAGAGCAGTGGGGGACAGACCCTTCCACAAACAGTAATGGTCAGAGTGGGCAAGACTGGGGTAGGGGAGCCAAGGGATGTGGGACCCAAGGGGCCACCTGACCCAGCAAGTAGGTCAGGGAGGTCAGATGTCCCCCACTGGAGGAGGGGACATCTGAGCTGGAACTAGGATACATAAGAATTATCCAGACCAAGGGAAGGAAAATGGCATAAATTGTATTCAGGCCAGGAGGTTGGAAAGAGAAGTGAACTTAGAAAGTTGAGTAGAGTCCAATGGAACTAAGTTATAAAGGTGAGGAGAGAAGGAGGGCTGGCCAAGTGGCAGGGCATCAAAGGCTAAAATGAGGGATGCTTCCTCCCCAGGTCCTGGGAAGCCACAGAAAAGTTCTGAGCAGGGGAGGAACAGGGTCAAGTCTGATCTTTCCACAAACCTCTCTGACTTCTAGTTGTGGGGAAGTGGAAAGGGAGAGACTAGGGCAGGAGAGCCAGGAGGAGGCTGGAGTGGAGACCAGAGTGGGGAAGGGGGGGTAGACTGAAGACACATTTAGGGGGTGCAAGGGTGGAAGCGGGGCTGTGGAGGGAGGATGGCTCCTCCAGTCTTGCCCCTTCTTGGTCCCCAGAAGACAACGTGGATCCCATAGTCACTGAGCCCATCGAGCCAGACCCCATCCTCTCTGTGTCAGGAGGAGGTGCCATTGCCCTCCTCTTGGCTGGAAATGTGGGGGCCGCGATGCTGATAGGAGGCATAGGCTTCATCATTGTCCAAAGCATAAGGTATGTGCTGTCCTCCGCCCCTGTCCACTGCCTGACACGCTCAGTCCCCACAAGTCAGAGCTCACTCTGCAGCAAGGCAGAAGCCCAACTGGTAGCCTCATCCAAGAAGCTTTGGACTCAGGGAAGAGGATACAGACACTGATGCACCCACCCAACGTGACACTGGGGAGCAAAGAGACAGAGAAGGATTCTGGAGCTCATCTGCCTAGGTTCAAACCCTAGCTCTATTCCTTACCCACAGTGAGGCCATGGGCAAGTCACTCCTGTGGTCTGTGCCTCAGTATGCCCATCTGCAAAATGCCATCCTCGGGGCTGTTGTGAGGATGAAACAAGGTAGTATTTCTACAGTATCCACACCTGTGCCTGGGATGCGGTCCACACCATATTCATTCCTTCTACAAGTATCAACCCAGTGCACACTCTGCCCACACTGGAGAAACCATGGGAATAGCAGCAGGAAGTCCTGGACCTCATGAACTTGCATCTGAGTCAGAAACACCAGCAATTTCCATGATGACCAAGTAAAATATAGATAGCATGTTGGATAATGATGAGCGCTAAGCAGAGGAGTAAGGCTGGGAAGTAAGGCCAGGGTTGGGTGGGGAATGGTTTAACTAAGTCTGAAGGCCTCCCCAGAAAAGTGACATCTGAACAAAGACACTGAGCAAAGGAGGGATGGATGTCAGTGGATGTCTGGCAGAAGGCATACCCAGTGGGGTAAACAGCTGGTGCAAAGGCCCTGAGGTAGGATTTGCCTGGTGTGTTCAAGCCATGGCAAGCCACAGCGTGGCTGGAGTGTGCGAGGAATGGGAAGACAAATAGGCCATGAGATCAGAGAGGGAATGGGGGTAGGGGTGGAAAGACAGCATCAAGGTCTTGAGGGCCCTATAAAGACCTGGTTTGTGTTCTGAGCGACACAAAAGCCATGGACTTACTCTCTGACTTGCATTTCAATCCTAGATGTATTAGCTATTACTGTAATACTATAATATCTTACCATGTATTGAGTGTCTATTATGTGCTTGCTAAACATTATTCTATTTAATTTCCACAAGAGCTCTGCAGGTGTTAGGGAGGAGGGAGAGGAGGAAGGGCGGCTATAGATAAGAAAGAAACTTGTTTTTGTCAAAGAGGAAATTAAGGCTCAGAGAGAAGTGACTGGCCCAGACCCCACATCTAGAGAGGGTTTCAAGCCCAGAACCCTGCCTCACTCCTAATTATCGCCCCTCACCTCCACTGCCTCTTTTCCTGCCATAACAACACAAGCCTTCATAGTTTATGTACTACAAGCTGACATTGTTTGCAAAGGCCTTGTCCATCAACAGGGAGAGGCTGGGGCCAGGTCTCCAGTCCCAGAGTCCCATGCGGAACCTTCCAGGGGTGGAGGAGGGCCAGGCTGTTGTCTGATCCCCCCCCCGCCCCCCCGCACCATCCTCATCACTGTAGCAGCTGTAACTTCCCAGGGGTCCTCAGTAAGTGTCGAGAGCCTTCAAGTCACAGCTACTCTGAGGGACAGGGACGTTCTTGTCCTCATTTTCCAAGTGACTAAACCAGAGAAACTCACCTTGCCCAGGCACGCGCCTCTGACAAATGGCTCACCCCGAACCAAGCCCAGATCCACATCCAAAACCATGTTCTTAGAGAGGAAGCATGATGAGACATCCAGTCCCTGCCTCCACGGGCAGGGAGGAGGGGTCACTTCCGGTCCTCCCACCATTTTGGCCAAGGCGTACAAGGACGTATGAGGACGTACAAGGACATATGAGGACATACGAAGACGTATGAGGACGTACAAGGACGAATGAGGGCGTACGAGGATGTACGAGGCCGTACGAGGATGTACGAGGCCATATGAGGATGGACGGAAGTGATGTCAACCAGGAGGAACCATCCTCTTCCAATCATGGGAGCTTTGGAGATGAGGTCATGAGGACAGGAGTGGCTGTCTTGCCCCTCCCAGTGGGGAAGAGCAGTGCTGGGGAAAGGGGATATGGGCTCAGGGGGAGCCCCACACACGTTCGCCACACCCACCCACGGCCATGAGAGCTCCCTGTTGTTTGCAGTTAAGGCCATGGGCTCTGAAGCCAGGCTAACCCTCTGCCTTATCAGTAAAACAAGGATAATAGTAATTCCTACCTCCAAGGGAAGGTGCGCGGATTATACGACATGGTGGGAGTGAAACACGGCAAATAGTGCCTGGCGGTGGTAAACCTTTCATAAATGTCTGCCACATTAATGATGATGATGATGATGATGATGGCGATCGATCTCTCTCTCTCTCATTATAGGTCGAGCAGACAAAGAATACGGTCATGCTGCTGAAGTGGGCCCTTGTCTGTCAGCATCAGAGGTGATGCTGGGAAGGGCAACGAGAGCATCCTGGGGCTGGGACAAGATGAAGTTCCTGGGGGCTCCAGATGAGACCTCCTCCGTCCTGATGATTTGTCTTTGGGATGTTCCCATCTTGCTGAGCGTCCCAGAGACTGCCTTTCTCTCCCTCACCCCAGCTGCCGGTGCCCCATCTGCCTAGCTCACCAAATCCCTGGAAGCCACCTACACAAGTAGTCCATACTTCATAAAATTCATGGGCTGAAAGCAAAGGATACTTCCTTAAGTGGTTCAATAAAAACAAAAGGAGGAATTTAATACAAGGATCCGGGAAGATTTACAAAACTAAGGACCTATCAGTTAGCACTTGCTGTGTAACAAACTACCTCTCCCCCCGGACCCCCAGTTTAATGGCTTGAAAAGACAGCCATGGGTTTAGCTTACAATTTTTGTACAATTTGGGGCTGCGTTCAGCTGAGCCATTCTTCTGGTCTCTGTTGGGCCCACTCATGCACCTGTGATGAGTTGGCAATCACCCAGGGACTGTCTGGACTAGGACAATTGTCTAAAATAATTCACCTGTCCCCCACATCATCTCTCATTCTGTAGCAGGCCGACCCAAGCTTGTTCACACGACAGAGGGAGGATTCCAGGAGTAAGAGCAGAGGGGCAGTGCCTCTGAAGGCCAAGGTTAAGAATGGCAGTCATCATTCCGGGACTCCTGGATGGCTCAGGTCATGATCCCAGGGTCCTGGGATCAAGTTCCCTTGTTGGGGGGGGGGGTCCCCTATTCAACAGGAAGTCTGCTTCTCCCTCACCCTCTGCCTCTCCCCTGACTCGTGTTCTGTCTCTCAAATACATAAAATTTAAAAAAATCAGTAGGGGCACCTGGGTGGCTCAGTGGGTTAAGCCTCTGCCTTCAGCTCAGGTCATGATCTCAGGGTCCTGGGATCAAGCCCCACATTGGGCTCTCTGCTCAGCAGTGAGCCTGCTTCCTCCTCTCTCTGCCTGCCTCTCTGCCTACTTGTGATCTCTCTCTGTCAAATAAATAAACAAAATCTTTTAAAAAAAATCAGTAAATAAATAAAAAATAAAAATAAATTAAAAAAAAAAAAAAAGGATGGCACATCATCATTTCTGCCACATTCTTCTGGCCAAAGCTAGCCACGTTGCCAGTCCAGATTTGAGGGGTGGGAAAAGGACACCACCTCTTGATGAGAAGTAAAGAATCCGTGGCTCTCTCTCTCTGCCCACGGGTGCTCAGTGTTTCTCCATCCATGTGGGGAAAGACACAATCCCATAACTTCTAAGACCACTGAATTCCTTCGCCTTGTCCCCAAAACCCCTGGAGAAGGCATCCGATTGGCTCACTCGGGTCAGATGTCAACCACAGTCGCATTCCCGTGGCTGAGGTGGGGGCCAGGAGGGTTTGTACAAGCAGAGTTCAGGGGTTCAGCCCTGCCTGTGGGGTTTGTTGCTCATAAAGCCGGGGAGGTTTTGCCTTGTAAACTGAGCAGACACCCCAAAATGTCTTCGACACATGCAGTTTATTTTTGCTCCTTTTCAAAAAAAGAAAAATAAATAAATACATAAACCTGGATACAGAGAAATGGGGGAGGTGGTCACAAGCCCCAAAAGTCTGTGGCCCATTTTTTAAAAAGATTATATTTACTTGTCAGAGAGAGAGAGAGGTAGAGAGAGAAAGCACAAGTGGGGGGATTGGCAGGCAGAGGAAGAAGCAGGATCCCCGCTGAGCAAGCCCCCCCCCCCACAATGTGGGACTCGATCCCAGGACCCTGGGATCATGACCTGGGCCAAAGGCAGCCACTTAACCCACTGAGCCACCCAGGTGTCCCTTCATGGCCCATTTGTAAATAAGACTGACCACTTGATTTTGAGCTGTTGGAGAATCCCGGTAGATGGCAGGAGGAGGGGAAAGGAGTATGAATGAAGCTTTGGCTGGGGAGCATCCCTGCTTTTGTGACCAACAAAAAAACCACCTACCACATCATTATGATTCACAGTGATAGGAGCAGACCTGGGTGCAAATGTTGTCTGCCAAGGGCTGTCTCTGTGTCAGCCCCTACATTATGTACCTTTGATGATTCATGGGTCATATCTTCTTCACTGAACCCACTGAGGAAAGGAGAACCCACCTCCGTTTTCCTGACAAAGCAGGGGAGGCTCAGAGAGAGAGTGACTTGCCCAGGGTCACATGGGGTAGCACAAGGGGGAGCTGTTCTCCAAGCCGGGTTGCCTGGTTCTGAAATCCCTGTTCCCAATCACCCCGCTTTCCTGCCACTCCCTCCTTGGGGCCAGACCCCCCCCTTCCCCTTCTTTCATGAGCTCCCCCCTCCTGTATCAGGTAGTGGTCACTGTGCTTGAGTACACAGGATAAAAGTGATGCTCACAGAGGGCAAGTGACTGGCCCAAGGCAACACAGCCATGCATGATCTCAACTCAAGTCCGCCCAATTCCAAAACCCATGCCTAAGACCAGTGCTGTCCGACAGAACTCTCTGCGGTGATGGGAATGTTCTATACTTGCACCATCCAGTACCTGTGGCTACTGAGCTCTTGCAATATGGATAGTGTAACTGATGATCGCAATTTTTGTTTTTAATTCAATTTAATCCATTTATATTGCCACCTGTGGCTAGCCGCTATTGTACTAGACAGTGCAACTCTAACTCCTCATTGTTAAAAATAAATAAATCCCCCCAGGACCCATATGTGTCAATCACTGACTCTGGGGTCCTTGCCCTGGTCTGTCCAAGGGCTGAGATTTGCTTAGAAACCCCTAATATCTAACCAGTTCCTTGGTCACCTCAGGCATCCTGCGGTTCCTCATCCCTCCTCCCCTCTCCCTCCACTGTTAAAGAAGTTAGTCATTTCCTGCTTGGGCGGTGGCAGGGCAGGAACTGGTTCTTCCAGCTCCAAATCTGGCCAGGTCTCAGTGGGTGACACTGAAGCCACCGCCCAAACCAGCCCACGGCCTGCTGTCCTCTGTAGCAAGTCCCTTTCCCTTGCCCTCTGGAACAGCTGAGAATCTTTGTGAAGGCCCTCCCCACTCCTAAAAGTAAACTGGGCAAATTTCCTCAAAGAGACCTCCTGACGACCCCTGTTATAAATTCAGTCCGCTGGTGAAACACTGTCCTAGCCGGGTCCTGCTTAATAGCGGTTAAGCACATTGTGTCACTAAATGTTTGTTGGTGTGAATATTTCGTATTTATCTCATCTATTAGACTGTCAGCTCCACGACAGCAAGATCTGTCTCTGTCACACAGGGTACGTGCTCCATGAACCTTGCTACAGCGTGCTTACCATGGAAATTGGAAAACAGTACAAATCAGAGGTTTTGTGGGCTTTTCTTGTTTTGTTTTTTTTGGAACGCCAGTTTACCAACATCCCACTGAAAAATGGGTGCCATTTTTCAGAGATGAAAGAGACTCCGTGAAGCCATCCAACTGGTTCTGTCTTAAATTCCTCTGGATTCTTTGTACCTGAAAGAAAAAACAGCCCTCTTTTTTTTTTTTTTTTAAAGATTTTATTTATTTATTTGACAGACAGAGATCACAAGTAGGCAGATCACAAGAGGCAGGCGGGGAAGGGGGGAAGCAGGTTCCCCGCTTAGCAGAAAGCCTAATGTGGGACTCGATCCCAGGACCCTGAGATCATGACCCAAGCCGAAGGCAGAGGCTTTAACCCACTGAGCCACCCAGGTGCCCCAAGAAACAGCCTTCTTTCTTACTTACACCACTGTTGGCTTAGTTCCGTGGTTCCTTGCAGCCAGTCTAATACCCATGCATACATCTAACCCTAAGATGTAAGCCATAAAGTCAAGGATTTAAATGACACTTGGCAAAACAAAGCTGGCGTGACTAGGAGGAAGGCTGTGCCCACAGGCAGGTGTGGAGGAGTTGGGCCACAGTGAAAATGTGAGCTGAGAAGAAGCACAAGCGTATCCCAACATCCCCCCGGGGGGCAGGGTGGTTGGAAAGTGCTGTCAAAGGCACGAGATGCAGGACAAGAAAATTGAGAATCCCGCACCTGTTCTTACTCTGTGACTGTGTAGACATCACACACTTTGTATCCAGGTAGAAGACAAAAACAAAGAAAATCTGGAACTTTCCTCCTCTCTCCAGGCATTCCATACATCCCAGCAGCCATAAGGGTTGTCGTGTTCTTGAGGATCAAAGAAGGAAGAAATGGGAGAAGGGAGATGGAATTTCTAGCTATAACCTCTGGCCATAATTCCTCTCCGTTTTCACATCCATTTTGCCAGGATGCCTGCCTCCTCAGCTACCATTTTTTTAAAGATTTTATTTATTTATTTGTCAGAGAGAGAGAGAGAGAGAGAGCACAAGCAGAGGGAGCAGCAGGCAGAGGGAGAGAGAGAAGCAGGCTCTCCGCTTAGCAGGGAGCTCGAGATGGGGCTCGATCCCAGGACCCCAGGATCATGACCTGAGCCAAAGGCAGACACTTAACCAACTGAGCCACCCAGGTGCCCTCAGTTCCCATTTTTGATAGACTGGCAGTAGCTCCTCTAAGTAGTATACTGAGAGTTCTGGAAACCCACCCACACTCCCCAGGAAGGAGTGCCAGTATCAAGTATCAGGACTGATGCTCACCAGTCTAGAATAGAGTGGTGACGGCAGTCCCATATTTGTCTCCCGTGCTTATCAGCAATGAGTCAGACTCTCTCCTCCCTGAAAGGGACAAAAAGAACTTATTTCCAGTTCAAGACCTGTCCAAAACATACCATGACCAACAATTATAATAGAGGCACAGCAAGATTCCCAGGCTACTTTAACAACACCTGGTTCATTCACTCACCCAAGGAATATTTATCGAGGCTCTCCTGTGTGGCTAGATGCTGGACACGGCCCAAAACAAGACAGACATGGCTTCCGCCCTCTCGGGGTTCAGACTCCATCTCCAAAATCTAAACTCCAGCTCATGCCTTGCCCAAGTCCTCAGCCCTCCCTGCTTCCTACCCCACCCCTGTCTCTTCCCTCTTGGAACACACCCAAACTCTCAAGCTTGCTCTCACTCTCTCTCTCTTTCACACACACAACTTCGTAAGTAAGTTTCTTCTAAATTCCAGTATTGACAGGAAACATAATTTTATGTGCTAAGGTGGGAAAGAAGACTAACAGACAAATAACAGATCAAATAATTACTAAAGCCATCCATCCAACCATTCATTCAACATGCCTTCCCCTGGCCCCTGGTCCATGTAGAGCCCTGTGCTGGGCAGTACTGGGTCCTCAGGGCTGACCACAGCAGCTGCAGCCCTGCCCTCCCAGAGCTCAGGGTCCAGTGGGGAAGAAAGATCCATTCCTGGTGGTGACAACCCAGAGTAGTCTAAGTTGGGACGTGGGAACCCAGAGGGGGCTCCAGATCTAGCCTGGGGAGGGGAGGTCAAGAGGGCTCCCTGGGGAAGGGGTCAGCTATTCTGGAGAACACATTAAGAGGATAACAAGAATAGCCATGTCCCTTGAAGGCATTATTTATGCTAAAGGGTTCTAATGCATCATTTCTGTTTATTAACCCAAATCCTAGAAAGTAGATGCTATTATTAGCTCCATTTTAGAAATGAGGAAGTTGGGGCGCCTGAGTGGCTACGTCAGTTAAGTGTCCAACTCTTGATTTGGCTCAGGTCATGATCTCAGGGTCGTGGGATCAAGCCCTGCATCTGGGGCTCTGAGCTCAGTGGGGAGTCTGCTTGAGGTTCTCTCCCTCTCCCTCTGCCCCTTCCTACACCTCTCTCTCTCTCCCTCTCTCAAATAAATAAATAACATTTCTTAAAAAAAAAAAAAAAACAGAAATGAGGAAATGGAATTCTCACCACCCTGGGCCCTGCCTCCATGGAATTTACAGCTTCAGAGGCTCAGGAACGCCAGAGAAGGGATTGCCCAGCCTGGGGATCCAGGAAGGCTTCTAGGAGGAGGTGCCGGCTCAGTCATGAACTGAAGTGTTAATAGCCATTGCCAGGTGGAGAACAGAGGAAACATGTCCCAGCCTGAAGGTGAGCAAATACACTTTATTTACAGGGACTGCAAGGGCTTTGCTCTTTTTGACTTGTAAAGCAGAAGTGACATCATTGCTGTTGTCAGGGGCCAGGTCATGTAGGAGCTATAATCTGGACCTTGTCCTTCTCTGTTGTATACAGAGAGCTGCCTGTCAGAGGGTATGGCTCTGATTAGTCACCAGTGGTAGAAGTAGGCTGGGGAGGGCAGGTTTCAATTCCTTCCTTGGGCTGTGAGAGGCCTGTGGGATTTGGAAAGAACAAAGAGGGAACAACCTTGGGGAGGCACCAGTACACCCCTGCAAGGCAGTGGACGTGAGGGAGCTGGCCGGAGATGTCGGACAGGAAATGATCTCAGGATCGTGGTCTGGTAACCAGCCGGTGTTTGGGGAAGGGCAGGCAGGTGGTGGTGGTTTGGGGATTTCTTTCCATCTTTTTTCCTGCCTAGCCTCAGAGTGTAGAAGATGAAAATTCTGCCCCAGGACACCAAGAATAGTTTCTGCCATTTGTGGACCACCTGAACAAATTTACTTGTTTAACCATATAACTTACTTGCAAATAACTTATTCAATCATCATCACACAATTTCTTGATCCTCTGTTTTACAGATGAGAAAAAAAGGAGGCAAGAGAAATGATCCAGGTTGTTTAGGATCACCAGCTACTACGAATTGGTGAAACCAGAATTTGAAGCAAAAGAGTAACTCTCTGGACCCCCACTCCCTTCCCTCCCTCCCCTCTCCCTGCTCTCTTTCTCCCTTCTCCACCCCTCCCCTCTCCCCTGCCCCTTTTCTCCCTGTCTACTCTTTCTGCCCCCCCCCCTTCCTCCCCTACCCAGCCTCCAGGTTCCTACGTCAAAGCCTTGGGACAAAGCTTCGCATCTGAAATTCTGGAAACTCCAGTTTACTGTCATGCGGGTCCCAGGGTGGTAAGCCCTGGACTGCCACCCTCTACCTTGCCGGTAAGAGCACTGGACGACAATCTGGCGATGTCCCCCCAAAACACAAGTGTGCATGCCCTCGGACCCAGCCAATCAGCTTCTAGAAACTACCGTGGACCTGACTGCATCCCACACCAGGGGAAATGGCGTGGACACGGTTTCTCTCGGCGCCTCCCTCTGCACGGGCGAAGCAATGGAAATACCCAAAAGGAGAGGTTCAAAACTGATGGTGTGTTTGAACACAGGAACGGTTCGACTAAAGGAGAGTGGTTTCAAGGAGATCCCAGACCAACCCTAGGGCTCAGAGGTGGGGAGGGGTCCCGGCAGGGGCTGTCTAGGGAATAGTAGAACACCTTGCCTCAGCCTACCCATTCCAACTGGCAACAATCCCCCACCCCACCCCATGATGCCCTCATTGAGGTTCATCCAGACCTAAAAGAAGACATTTACTTGAATTCAGGGATTTTTATAGCATGGGTATTTTGGCCTTCCCAAGTATCTATTGACCCAACTATTTGGGGGCGAGGGGGTGACCAGAAATACCAGCCACCGAAGGCCCTCCCCCTCCCACTGACCTTCCTGTCATCCCAGCCCCATTCCGAAGCCCTCCCTTTTCTTGACCCCACCTCTGGTTCCATCCTTAACCTTCACCACATCTCTGACCCTTGGCTCTGCCTTGACCCCACTTTTGCGCTTCAGTGACCGAGGGCAGGTATCATTCCCTTTACGTGCCCGTTGTTTAGGACCAGGGTTCTGATGGCCTGTTTTCAGACCCAGGCTCCATTCCTGTCAAAGAGGAGTCAGATGTCCAGGGGCGAAGAGGTAGAGTATGGGATGAGGTGGGCCCCAGATCTGAAGCTCAAACATCAGAGGAGGAGGGGGCAGCCTCTGCCCAACCAAGCTCTGCGAGGAGGCTCCCCACGTGCGGTAGCTGGGGAGCCCTGGAGGAGGGGGAACCCCAGAGGGTGACAGCACGGTCCACAGGAGGAACGCAGTAGCAGCCACAGGTTCCGGATTCAGAGAGAACTCAGCATCCCAGAACGAGAGTGCCAGAAAATTCAGAGATTTCCCAGTGACTAGCGTCTGTGTTTCCATTCAGAAATTCACCCACATCCAGGGCGAGACACCGGGCATCAGAACCACCCTCCCACGGCCATGCGCCATCAGTGAACACTAGCTCCAAGTCAAAGACGTCGGCGGGATCACAAAAGCCTCCAAACCGGCCAAAGCCTAAAAGGAGTTGTCTAGAAAGATAGAGGGATGTCACAGAACAAGAGTGAGAGCTGCTGGGCGGGGGCGGGGGGGGGACCACCAACTATAGCCAGGATAGACAGAGCTGGGGAGAAAGCCGTCTCCCAAGCTCTGTGTCTGAGTACAGTTCCCTGCGTCTCTCTGTCACCTCTCAGTTCTCTCTCATCTCTCTCTATGCTGTGTCTGCCTCTCCTCTCTCTCAGTCTCTCATCTTGTGTCTCTCTCTTTGTATGTTTTTCTCTCTCCCTACTTCCCAATCACTGCCTCTGAGTGTCTCTGTTTCTCTCCTCTCCTCTCTCCCTCCCTCATCCTTCTCCCTGTTGTATGTGACCCTGGGACCATCATCACCACCAAACAGGACAGTGTTCTCTGCATTCATTTGTTAATACCTGTTTCCCTCCAGTAGAAGGTGGGCTTCACCAAGGCAGAGATTTTTGTCTGTGTTATGTTCTGCCGCCTTCCCTGTGCCAGGAATAGGGCCTGATTCAATAAATTGATGTTGAATGCAGAATGGGTGAATCATCGTTCTCGCCAACATGATTATTCAGTGATATCTGTAAAAACACTGATACTGGTTGTTACTGGTATAGCTACTGCCTATCAAGTGCAAACGGTAAAACCAGGAATCGGGCTAAGCAGTTACTTTTCAGCCTTACAAACCCTCCTGTGTAGGTGAGTCCTGTCATCGTGCCCATTTTTCAGATGAGGAAAGCGAGGGAAGCAACTCGCCCAGTATGAGCCCAGGCCTTGTCTGACTCCAAAGTCCAGAGGGTTTAGGCCTGGTGGTTAAGAACTCGGGATCTACCCCAATGGTAGGTTGGAATGTCAGCTGTGGCCCTTAGCAGCCTTGACCTTTAAAAAGTGAAGTAAGTCAGTGAGAAAAAGACAAATACTAAATGGTTTCATTTAGGTGGAATTTAAGAAACAGAACACGGTGGTGGGGTGGGGGCCGGGGGAGACAGGTTCTTCAGTACAGAGAAGGAACTGGGGGCTGCCAGAGGGGAGGTGAGTGGCCGGTAATGGGGGAAACAGGTGAGGGGGACTGAGAGCACCCTTGTCACGGGCGAGTACCGAGAAATGTACATAAGTATTGAATCATAGGGGCGCCTGGGTGCTCAGTGTGTTAAAGCCTCTGCCTTGGGCTCAGGTCATGATCCCAGGGCCAGGGATAGAGCCCCGCATCCGGCTCTCTGCTCAGCTGGGAGCCTGCTTCCTTTCTCTCTCTCTCTCTCTGCCTGCCTCTCTGCCTACTTGTGATCTCTGTCAAATTAAAAAAAAAAAGTGTTAAATCATTATACTATACACCTGAAATTAATACAACACTGTGCTTATTACGCCTCCATAAAAAAGAAACCACCCGCTAGATCCTGGGCGGTGTCTAGGGTGGCGCAGGCGCAGAGGCAGCCCCCCACCCCACCCCCCCTCGCAGGGCCGGTCTTGGCGGGGGGAGATCGGGGAACTTCCCACGCGCCTGCTCGCTCTGGCAGGCTGGGGTGCCTCGGGGTCTAGACTGCAGCTCCCAGTCGGCGGCGGCGGACGAGGGAGAAGGAGCCCAACAAACCAGGGAGGAGGCTCGTCCGGAGCGGAGCGGCGGAGCGGCGACCCAGCTGCGGGAGGAACCCAGTATGGTGCTGCCGCCAGAGCTGCCGCCGTTACTGCTGTCGCTGCCGCCGCTGTTACTGCTGTCGCTGCCCTGGGTGCCCACGGAAGCCAGTAAGTGACACTTCCCCCCAGCGCGGCGTTGTAGCCGCGGCTCCCCCTCTCCCCCCCGCACTGGCAGGATGGTCCGCCTCCCCCAGGGCTGGAGGAACAGAACGGGGAGGGACCCCAGCCTCCCAGAAAGCAGCCGGAGTTCCTTACGGTAGAACCGTCAGTCAGTCTAGGAAAGCCGAGAATGAATGACACATGCCCGGACACCTCACCTCTTGCTCCTGCTCACGGCAGCCAGACCCCAAAGGCTGGGCCCACTGACCTCATCAGAGAATGCTTGATGGGGGCGGGGGGGGGGGAGTAGAAGAGGGCAGGAGCACATAACCTCTTCCCCCTTCTGACCCCAAATGTTTGGCTCTAAGTCATGGCCATTCATTTATCCATGCAGCTGGGCAGTTCATCCCACACACATTCACCGAGTGTCTCACAATGTTCCAGACCCTGGGGATATAGCTCTGAAGTCAGACGGCCTGGGTTTCAAAAGAGCTTTTGGCATTTAATACCTGTGTGAGCTCAGGAAAGTTTTAGGGAAACTAAAACTGTTTCCCTAAAAAGTGTTTCCCTAAAAAGTGTTGGGGATGGGGGGATGGAGATTCTACCTACCTTCTAAGACTCTTTCTTGGGTGGATGCCGATCAAAGTTGGACGCACTGGGTAAGAACAATAATGACATGGTAATTCAGATGAACAATATTAATTCTGAATGCAGACTTGGGGAAGCCACAGTTGATCATCTCAGCATTTCCCAAAAGGTGATTCCCAGAACTCTGGGCACTTCTCCAGAAAAGAGGGGCCCAAGGCTCAAGGACTTCACAGAGAGCCACCAACCCAAACCTCTTAAGGAGATTCCCAATATGAGCCCCACTGTGGCCTCCATTCGGAGAAGGGAAGCAACTTGCCCAAGGCACCAGCAAGAAGTAGCAGCTCCAATGAGTGAACCAAAATAGTGGACGGAGCCCCCCTCTGCCAGGACGGGAGAGCCTGGTGCCCAGGAGCAGGGGCGCAGGGTAGACCTAGGCAAATGGCTTGACCCTCGGAGGTGCACCTGACCTCTCTGTCCAGTGGGGATGAAAATACGAGTGCTCATCTCACGGGGTCGTGGAGAGGGTTGGGGGAGGCCACTTGTAAGGAAACAGCTTTGGTGTCTGGCACAGAGGAGGCACTTGAGTGTGGTCGTTACGCTTCACCCAATGTCGTCTTCATGGCAACCTTGCCAGGGACGAGACCTGCCATCAGGTGGACGAAAGCCCCAGAGAAGGAGACCCGCGTACCCAGAGCCACACAGCACATCAGTGACACAGCCGGCATTCAGACCCACGCTAGCAGGCTCCCCACTCTCCAATTGCCTGTGTCCGAACCGTGCCCTCCTCCACACAGCATGCTCTAGGCACCCGTCTGCTACTTCCCAGCTTCCTCTTCCTCGTAACACAATAATTACAATATTCACCTTGACAGAGTTGTTGACACATGCTAATCCCTCTAGATAGATTTCATTGCCTCGTCCACCCAGCAACCATATCATGCTCTAACCACCCCCAGTTTACAGATGACAAAACTGAGATTCAGAGAAGTGACACCACCCACGCACAGTCTCACAGCGGCTGCTGCTAGCAGTACCAGAATTCAAAACCCTTACCTCCTTCCCACCTCCTCCATTCTCTTTTTTATTACTAGTAAGAATGGACAGCATTGTGTTTATTAATAGCAGTATGTGCCAAGACATATTGAGGACCTACTATGTGCTGAGGCCTGAGCCTGAAAGATTTTAATATGGAGCCCGGTGGGTTAGAGGTCAGGACTCCTGAGCGCAGACCGCAGGGTTCAAATCCCCCTTTGGCCATTTACCTTCTCTGTGACCTGGAGGAAACGATTCTGTGCCTTGGTTTCCCCATCTATAAAGTGAGGGTGATGGTAGTGTTTGCTTCAAGGAGCTGTTTAAGGACTAAACCCTGAGAGATGCGTGAAGCACTGAGAACAGCCTGTGCATGTTAACTGTTATTAGTCCCACATTACAAACTAGGAAAAAGAATCAGAGAGGTTAGGTAACCTGCCTGAAGCCTCACAGCAGAGATCGGAAGGATCCAAAATCCTTGGGTTATAATTGCCTCCCTTCTTGTGCCAGGATCCCCTACAAACCTTCTCCCAATTGGGGTCCATGCATAGCAATAATAATAATATCATATTTCATGGATTCTAGGACTTAGATATGCTGTGCCTTTTCCCACCCCTCAGTCAGAGTTCCTGTAAATGACAGAGTCACAGTGGCCTTGATGACAGTGAGCTGATGGAAACGCTCTGGAACTAGATAGTGGTGGTAGTTACATGCACAGCTCAATGGCACGAACAGTGCACTTTAAAATGGTTTAAATGGCAGATTTACGTTTTCAACCTCAGTATGGACCACAATTTAAAGCGTCGATGGGGAAATACGGTAATCACAGCCCCGCGAGGCTGCTCGGACGCAGACAGGGAGCAGCAGACCCAGTCCAGCCCGGGGAAGGGTGAGTGGCCTCCCGGGCGCCCCTCGGCATCCCGACCTCGGACGCCCGGGTCTGACCCGCCCGCGTTTGCCCCGCAGGGACCGCGACGGTCGGCGTGCTGGCGCCCCGGGAGGTGAGCGGCCTCCTGGGCGACACGGTGGAGCTGTCCTGCAAACTGCCGCCGCTGGAGCACGAGGTGCATGTGACGCAGGTGACATGGACGCGGCAGGACGCAGCGGGGAACGAGCTCAACGTGGCGGTCTTCCACCCCATACAGGGCGCCAGCTTCCCAGAGCCCGGCCGGTTGGAATTTGTGGGCGCTAGGCCGGGCCTGGAGCTGCGGGACGGGTCGCTGGCCCTGCGGGGGTTGCGCGCCCAAGATGAAGCCAACTACACCTGCCGCTTCGCCACGTTCCCCGAGGGCAGCAGGAGCGCACGCACTTGGCTCCGCGTGCTCGGTGAGGGCGGGGGCGGGGAAGAGGCAGGGCGGGCACGGGGGGATGGAGCGGGGAGATTTTGTGGGGACCAAAGGAGGAGATGGGGCAATGATGGGGGGGTGGAAGGGGCTGTAGGCTAGGAAGAGATGTGGGATCCTGGAGAGTAAGGTTAAGCTCTTGCAGACTGAGGGCAGAGCGTGGGGGTGGTGGATAAGAAGGGGGGACAGGTAGAGTCCTGGCAGGGGACTGGGAAGCCTGGAGGCCAGGGTTTGCCTCCCGGTTGGCTACCACCAGCTTGGCAAACGCCTTCATCTCAGACTCTCCTTTCCTCGCCTGTAAGGTATGGTTAGTTACAAGAGTGCTGTCCTCAGAAAGCTGTCCCTAGGGTCTCGGGAGTTTATCCAGCTGAACCTTAGAACAGAGGCCCCTGTGAGCTCCTGATGGCTGTCAATCACTGTTACTCCCTTTGGTGAGGAAGGGAGAGTTGAAATACACAGACAGGAAGGAGGGCCATTCTGACACCCAGGCGAAGAGGCTTTCCCCACCATGGGTCCAGATGCCCCCAGGCATTGTCATGGACTCAAGGTTCCTGTTCCCCAGCAGAACATTTCCTCTTTGAAATTGAGTAAGTCCCTACGCCTCTGGGAAGGAGGGATCACCCTGAGGATTAGTAAGAGCTGATGCGTACTTACTGGTACTTTCCCTCCCCGTGCTGGGAAGGCATCCAGGCCCTTACAAGACTGACTCCTGCACCGTTAAGTCCTTGGAACGGTGCCCACAGCGCCCAGCCAAAGGCAGCGCTTTCAACAAATCTGGGACTTCAGGTCTTCGGGTTGAGAGTAACCCAGAACCAGTGAGCAGCCCCGGGGCCAGGGGCCGGGCTCCCAGCATCTAGCGACTGCTTGTCAGGCAGCCTGGGCTGGATGCCAAGGATGCTATACTGAGTTTCCTGTTAGCGGGGACTTTGCTGGGGCTGGAGGGGGGGGACATGAAGGATGGCAGCTCGTGGTGGCTTCAAAGCTGTTCTGGCGGATTTCAGTGGCACACTTCACACTGAAGGTGCAGCTGTCCCAGGCGCACGGGACACTCTTAAAAGGTCATGTGGCACTTCCATTGTGGTTAGGTGTGTGATGAGTACCAGGCAAGAGAGGAAGCAAGACCTGTTGGAAAGGTGGGAAAAAATTGTTGTTTGAGATCTCTGCCGCTAAGATAACTTCTCCTCTGGCTGCCGCCAGAAATTTAGTAGAGCAGAGGGGCACCTGGGCGGCTCAGTCAGTGGAGCGCCTGATGCTTGATTTCGGCTCAGGTCATGATCTCAGGGTCATGAGATCGAACCCCGTGTCAGGCCCCATGCTGGGCACGGAAACTTCTCGGGATTCTGTCTTTCCCTCTGTCCCGTCCCACCCCTGCACAAGACCTCACTCATGCTCTCTCTCTCTCTCTCAAAAAAAAGAAAAAATTTAGTAGACCAGAAACAAGTTGGACCTATGCTACTAGACGATAGGGCACTACCCGATTCCAAAAGACACAAATGAGTCATCCTAACCCTGTGGTCATAGGGTTGGCATCAGAACATTTTCATTATCAAATTCTGCAAGGAGCTTTCTGGTTACTCCCAGAGGGGGCGCCTCTGATAGCACTCTACCAAGCCAGGGGCGCTGGCCATGAACCTGAGGAGGTCACTGTGATAGCAGACCTTGGTGGGGCTCAGAACGTCAGCATGCTGGTACCTTAGTAACAACTGGGAAATATCAAGCCGCCCATGAAGAAAAAAGTTAATCTACCTCCTTAACTTTGGAGAGCTTCCCTCCGGTTGTAGGCCACATTCTGCAGCATCTACTGTGATCCCTTAGGCGAATCAGAGGCAACTGGAAACACAGCTTTTCATGTCTACAATGAATCCCTCCCCAGCTCCACGCCAAAGTAGATAGACCCAGACCAATCTTCCTCTACTCTATGTTAATCAAAAAGAAAGGTGCTGAATTGCAGCAGCCCCTAAACCTTGCTTACGTCTTTTATTTTATTTTTGTAAAAGATAATGAGACCCAAAGAAAGGGAAGGGTGAGATTTCATGCTATGCTTTCACATTCATCAGTGAGGCAGGGCTGGGAGGGGGTCTCCCCTCCAGGAAATCGAGTTCTCTGCTACCTCCTCGCTGGTACCCTGGGAGTGAGGAGTGTTCCAATTGTGGATAAAATTGAAGGGCATTTTGCAAATTATAAAATAATGCATTTTTGAAAAGCACATTTGGCTGTTGTTTTGACTGAGTTCAGCTGTGAAATCCATCAGACGTGCCAAGCAAAGCACAAATTGGGAAAAGCAAAATAAATCGAACTTGAGCCCAAGCGATAGAGGGAATTTGCTTGAACAGAAGTGGACAACTGGATTGTCTAGTAGATTATTCCCAGCACCTGTGATTTCCTTTTCTCTTCATTAGCTGGAGATGACTAATTTAAATTTAGAAGCTGATTTTAACTTACAATTTCCATGAATAAACTATTCATTGCAGATGCCTATTATACTATGTAACCATTGTTTTGGAAATTTTGTGTAAAATTAAAACTACCAGTATTTTACCAAAAAAAAAAAAAAGACAAAAAACCCACAACTAGTGAGTCAAATTTAAGAGAAATCTCCAGTCAATAATAACACTACAGTAACAAGTAATAAAGAGGAAGGAACCAAGCGGAGCCCCGGGTTTGGGAATTACCAGAATAATGAAGAGATGGTCACACGAGGGGTTTGGAGTGGAAGCCCAGCTCTGTTCGGTAGAACTGTGTGACCTCAAGCCTGTCTTCCCTTCTCAACCTCCACACAACTGCTCAGCCCTCCCCTCCTCCATGAAGCCCTCCTTCACCACTCCCCCAACATTGAGACACCCCTTCTGGGCTCCCCCATCCCAGCTTTGCCCATTCTGGGTTGCCGCTCTCTGAGGAAGTCTGTCTTCCCGTTGGACTGTATACCCCCTAAAGGCAGGGCTGGGGGCTGCCTCGGGCATTGCTGGGTCCCCAACATCGCCCACCCTCCAGCCAGGCACTGTATTCCATTCCCAATAATAATAGCAGCATTTCCTGAGCATGTATTATGCGCCAGGTACCATCTTGGGAGCTTTACCTGCATGTTCTCATTGCCTGTGATCCTGTCCTTATCTCCCATTGACAAAGAAACTGAGCACAGACATACCCATAGCCACCCAACAGCTCGGGGACGGAGCTAGGATTTGAACCCGGACCTCCAGTGCACTCACCTAGCTGCCCCCCTCTGCTGGTGTGCTGTTTGCTGAAAGACCGCAGGCGAGGACTCACCAGTCCTTTTTGCTCTTGTCCGCAGCCCAGCCGGAGAACAAGGCCGAGGCTGAGGAGGTTCCACTCAGCCCACTCAGCCCGGAGCCTGTGCCTGTGGCCCGCTGCGTCTCCAGTGAGGGCCGCCCCCCTGCCCAGGTCTCCTGGTCACACCTGGATGGGAAGACCAATGAGAGCCAGGTGCCAGGACACCAGCCTGGCACGTACACCGTCACCAGCTTCTTAATCGCAACACCCTCAAGCCAGACAGATGGCAAGCCTGTCACCTGCAGAGTGGAACACGAGAGCTTCAAGGAGCCCATCCTGCTGCCTGTGACTCTCAATGTGCCTTGTGAGTGCGCCCAGATGTGAGCAAGGACAAGGACCACTATCCCGCTGTCTCCACCACTACCCCCACATTGTCTACTGGGGCCCATGGGGACTTTGAAAATCTTCCCTGTTGATCATATTTGGGGTGGATAAACAGCAGCAGAGGCAGGGTGATCCAGGATTCTTCCCAGCAGGACTTGTCAGAGCCTTGAATGTGCTCCTGTATGTGATGGGTGTCCAAGAGCCTTTTCTCACAGGACACCCATGCCATGCCAGGACTTGGCTACCCAGGAAAATGACTAGAGAGAAACAGATCCCCAAAAGCCTTCTCAGCACCCCACTACCTCCCACCCTGCCAAGGACTTCTGGCCTTCTCTGCTCTGAGGGAATCCATTACCCAAGACTCCTCACAGCCCTCTCTGTCTTGGGCTGTTCCTGAAACCCACTGAAGCCTTTTCTCGTTATGACATGCTCCCACATATCTTTAGGCCCCTCTGAAGGGTCCCCGTCTTTGAGCCTGTGTGTCTGTTTCCCTCAGACCCCCCAGAGGTCTCCATCTCCGGCTTTGATGACAACTGGTACCTTGGCCGCAGGGAGGTCGCTCTGAGCTGTGACGTCCGCAGCAAACCGGAGCCCACGGACTATGACTGGAGCACGTGAGTCCTGGGTGGACATGGGCCGACCTGGGCCCCTGGGTCCTGAGGGAGTCAGGTCCTGAGTCTGAGGGAGGAGGGGCTGGGGGCAGGACTCCTGGGTCTGAGGGAGGAGGAAGCTGGGGGCCTGGACTCCTGGGTCTGAGGGAGGAGAGGGCTGGGAGCCTGGATTCCTGAGTCTGAGGGAGGAGGAGGCTGGGGGCCTGGACCACTGAGTCTCAGGGAGGAGACTGGTACAAGAAAGTGAAAAGAGAGAAGTGGAGTCTAGGCCGCAGTAGGATTTCTGTCTCGTATGCACAGTTTATGAGGCGGTTTAGGGCAGGTTCACCATTATACCTGCTCTTTTTGGCTGTCTGCTGTGTGCCAGTGGTCACCTTATCCCATGTGACCCCCACACCTCAGGCACAGGCAGCGCCGTCACCGTGCCCGGGGTTAAAGATGAGTCGGGCCCCAGTAGGTGCCATCACCTGCCTGGGTCCCAGGGCCACAAGGGTGCAGAAGTGGCTCCACATTGATCCTCCTAACGTCTGGGTTTGGCCACCTCCGCGGTCACCTCATGTAACCCACCCAGTCACTTCTGGTAGAGTGGGTGCCATCCCCACTGTCTTGATGAGGAAGCTCAGAGCACTCCGATTCCCTCAAGTTCAGACCAAGGCTAGGATGCAGAGCGGGGAAAGAAAAAGGCAAGGGGATCGATTGTTTTACACGCTCCTTATCAGGCTCTTGTTCTTATTCTAAATAACTTACGGCCATTGTAGAAACTTCAGACAATCCGGTTATGAGCAAAAAGAAGATCTGTAGTCAAGTGTCCAGAAATATATACCACTACCCTTTGTTACACAGCCCTCCTGCCGTTTGTTCTCTACCTTTCTCAGCAAAAACTGTGCCACAGGCACCTTTTTGAAACTTTCCCTCTGTCAGGATCGCCTTCCCGTGTGACCCCATGTAGGTCCCCGTCGCCATGTCCCCCAGCGTTTCATCAGGCCAATCTGTAGATGTACAGAAAAGACGTACGACTTTCCCAACGAGCACTCAGGAACCCACCTGGTGCATTCTCCTGCTTACCTTTTACTGGATTTGCCCAATCGCGTCCATCACTCTGTCCTCTCTCCCCATCCATCCGTCTTCTACCTGTTAGGCATGTCAGAGCCCCCACAGCACCCTTTTCAGTGCTGCTGGGACCCCGTTCCATCCAATGCACATGCTATCAATTATTTAACCAACTCTGGACGGGGCTCACATCCCAGCTTGCAACCCTGCAGATGCCACGGGAGCGCCCGTCCCCCACCAGCCCACCTCTGTGGATAGCCACTGCTACGTCTCTACGGTCAGTCAAGGGAATCATGGTCAAAGGTTTTCCAGTGGTGAAGGCAGACGCCTCTCCCATCCTGCTTCAAAGCACCGTGATCCAAGCCCATGAGCCATGGGGCTGGGTTTCCGTCCAAGCTATGCCGCATGCCCAGAAACCCATGCTTGCGTCTTCTCTGTCCACTAAACTGAAGCGTTTTGACACTTGCTCTGTGCCAGATCACATGGGTCAGTGTATCTTGGTTAATGAAACAGACCAAATTCTCCCCCCTCCTGGTGCTTCCAGTCTAGTGGGGGAGGAAAACAATAGACAAAATAACGCTGTGAAGTCGGTAGTGCGTCAGATGGGGATAAAGGCTGAGTTACAGGTAAAGCGGGGGGGGGGGGGGGGCAGGGGGAATAAGGGGGGGGGGGGTAAAGGGGGTGGGGGGGGGGGGGGGGAGGAGGGGGGGGAGGGAAAGGGGGGGGGGGGGCATTGCAGTTGAAATCAGGGTGGGGGTAATAAAGGTCTTGCTAGGGTGACGTCTGAGCAGAGGACTGAAGGAAAGGAGGATGAGCTGGGCACATACCCAGAAGAGCATTCCAGGCAGAGGGAACAGCATGCAAAGACCCTGAGGTGGGGGTATTCAAAGACCACAAGGAGGCCACCGTGGACATAGAGCAGGGGGAGAGTCACAGACAGCGTGGTCGGTGGTGTCTGCAGCCAGCGTGTGGGGTCTGTGGCTGTGTAGACACTTTGGGTTTATGCTGAGTGAGGTGGGAGCCACAGGAGGACTCTGAACAGTAAGGGAGGTGAACAAGTTCGTTCTAACCAGATCTCTCCAGCCACAGCACGCAGGGCAGAGTGGGGTAGGCATGGGGTGGAGGCAGGGAGTCCTGGGAGAAGGTGGCTGCGGCAGCCCAGGAGCAGGGAGATCAGCCTGGGGTGGTGGCCGAGGAGGCCTGTGGTGTGGTCAGAGTCTGGAGAGGTTTTTCAGATGGGGCGGACGGCACCTGCTGCTTGGAGGGATGTGGGTATGAGAGGAAGAGTCAGGAAATTCCAGGGTTGCTCTCAACTGAGATCAGAGACGTCATGAGTATGCAGTGAGAGCTCACACCTGCCGCTTCCTCCCGCCTCGGTCTCTCCCAGAACCAACGGGACCCTGCCGCCCTCTGCTGTGGCCCAGGGCTCACAGCTCCTGATCCAGACCGTGGATGAGTCCATCAACACGACTTTCATCTGCCAAGTCACCAACGCCCTAGGGACTGGCCAGGCAGAACTGCCCATCCTGGTCAGAGGTGAGGAGCCCCTTGGGTGGCAAGAATAGAGGGACCGAAGGAGGAGGTCACAGCAGGATCCTCTCTGATGGAGGAGTTTGGAGGTGGTTCCTGGTTAAGGGAATCCTCAGACGCAAGAATGCTTTCTGATTCTCATCCATCCCCTAACACCCCTCATGAAAGGACCAATGGAATCAGCTTCAGTCTCATTAACTCACCATCTGTACCACTGGAACCACTGTGCAGCCTCCCGGATACACCCCGTCTGCAAACCCAGGCTTGGATAGCTGTGTGAGGCTTGTCCCCAGGACTCAGAAAGGGCTTTCCAAGCATGTGAGGCAGGAATCTCTATCAGTTGCAAGTGATAGAAGCACAACTCTAAATAGCCTAAGCAAAAATGGGACTTTACTGAAAATGCACCTTCAGGTATGGTTGGATCCAGATGCTCCAACTGTGAAATCCAGGAACTTTCCTTTACATCTCTTGTCTCTGCTTTTCTCTGTGTTCTCAGGGAGGTGAGATGTTCCTCAGCAGCTACAGCCTCCTGTCTCCCCTGTCTAGTAGTCCCAGTTGAAAGAATACACCACTTTCAGTAGCTCTAGCCAAAGTCCCAGGGTTGACTGTCGTTGGCTTAGCTGGGGTCCCAGCAGCCCCGTGAATCTATCCCAACAGCCAAGGAGAATGGAATGCTCTGATCAGCCAGGCCTGGGTCAAAGCCCCGTCCTAGGAACCAGGGGGTGGAGTCAAGTCCACCTGAGACATGACCAGGAGAGGCCGGGCGGTAGCTTCCCTAAAGGATGAGGAATCATGTTTTAGGGGCACGTGAAGACCCCAGGAGCCCCTGAACTTAACCCTGCTTACTTCTTCTCTTCCAGAAGAACCTCCCAACCAGGCACCACAACAAGGCTTGTCTACTCTGGGCATCGCTTTCCTGATAGTGGGAGGCCTAGTCTTTCTGGCCCTGCTGGCCTTCCTGATTCGTTTCTGGCTGTCCAGACGCTCCCGTGAGTCCCTCCTCTTTGGCATATCTCCTGCCTGTCAGCTGAGAATGAGCGTACCCACAGCCGCCATGCTTGGCCACCTACTATGATCTAGACTCATCCCCAAGTACGGCAGCCTCAGACTGAACCCTCAGTTCAGTACCATGGAAGTACCATGAGCTTCCCCTATTTGACACAGGAGGACACTAAGTTTTGGAAAATCCTGCTCACTGGATCATTGATTCCTTTTTGCAAACCTCTGGGGAGGAGGGGCCGTAGCTGGCACCCTGATCCCAGCTCTTAAGGGCCTGATCCTCTTGACTAAAGGGCTCCGCATAGGCTGTTCCCCTGCCTGCAACACCCTCCCCCACGGCTCTTTCGGGTGAAGTCCTTTGGCTTCTTCAGTAGAGCTGAAGAAGAGCTGTTTTGCTGAGCCCTTTCCGGTGCTGAGCACTGAGCCCCACTCTATGGATGAGGAAATGTTTGCTTGCAGAGAGGAGGTCTGCCAACGGGCTCGCAGCCCAAAAGTCAGGAGGAGAGGGCATTTCTGCTGACGACAAAGCTTCTTCCCTCAACCCCTAAACAAAACTGCCTCCTCACATCCCAGCTGGAGGCCTCCTCCTCCAGGAAGCCCTCCCTGATCTCCCAGAGTGAGCCAAACACCTGCTCTGGACTTCCCCCCAGCCCCCACCCAAGGCCTTGCCCCCTCGGGAACGCGCCACTGAGTGGGTACTCATCTATCTCTACAGCGAATTGTGATCCCCAGGAGGGCAGAGCTAGAACTGTCATGGCCACAGCTGTGTCCCCAGCCCTGCCTGCCCCTGCGCCAGGCACACAGGATGCACTTGAGGAAGGGTTTGCCAAGCGTGGCATCTCCGGAGCCAGACTGCCTGTGTCTGTGCCCTCAGTCTACTGCTTTATTAATTGTGTCATCAAGGGCAAATGACCTACTCTCTGTGGCTCAGTTTCCTCCTCTGTGAAATGGGAGTAACCGTCCCTGATCATAAGCTCTCAGGGCAGCATTTGGCACATCGTAAGCAACACGCCGGGCACATGCAGGCTCTGAGTCCGGTTGTCGCCGGTAACAGTGGTTAATCCGAACTCCATGAGAGCAGGGATTGGGGCTGTTTTGCTCATGGCTGTATGTCCGGCATCTAGAAGGCCCCTGGCACAAAGCAGACATTTCCTATTTGCTGAATAAATCCCTGTGTGATGGTTGAGGAAACTGAGGCACAGAGCATCAATTGCCTTAGGTCACACAACTCCTAAAGGACAGAGCTGGGATTTGAAACCTTCTCTCAGGTTGCAGAACCCATGGCGAATAAATATTTATTTATGCTTAATAACTGCACAGATAGCTGGGTGGGGCACATACCCCAGTCCTGTTTTACGCATAACCACTGCGAGGAGTGGCTTCCCCGTGTCAGCAGCAGAACTGGGGCTGAGAATTCAAGGGGCTCCGCCACCCACATGTGTCCTCTCACCATGCTGTCCAGCACTGTCATTCATTCCCGAAACTTCTCCTTCTCTTTCCCTAGGTCGCGACCAACACCGCTCCTCGGCTAATGGCGTGAGTGTGGTGGTGGGGCTGAGGAGGGTGTGGGGCTCTGCACGAACCACAGACTAATTGCATGGACATTCCCAAGGAGGTGACAGGCATCTCTGGGGACCTGTAGCACTTAACCAAACGCCAGCATGGTGTCAGGAGCCAGGTCCTGGATTTTCTCTCCAGATGCCTCGAGCCGTGGTTCCCAACCCTCCTGCCAGGCAGAGTCCCCTGAAAAGTTTGCTTAAAATGCAGGTTCCCGGGCCCTGCCCCCTGAGCATCTGGTCTGGTGGGTCTGTGCTGGGGCCTGAGGATCTGCATTTCCGTAGGTGCTCCTTCCCTCCCCACTCATGACCACACCTTAAGAACTGCCGCCCCAATCACTTCTTGGCCTTTTGGCTAAGCTCAACTGAGGAAGCGCCGCCCTGACTTCCAGGGAGATGGGAGGGAACAGACCCGCAGCTCTTTGCACACAGGGCTCCAGCGGGCAGATTCTGTTTGGAAGGGCCCTGAGGCTAACGTTTTAATATCTGCCTTCTAGCATGTCTCCTATACGGTTGTTGCGGACATCATTGCCAGCTCTTCCGAGGATCCACCGAAAGAGAACACAAAGTGACAGCGTCAGGACTGCTGGAGAGAGAGACTGGGGCCGGCAAGGGCATGGACCTTGCAGCTGGACCCTGGCCCCAGGGAAGGAAACTCCCTCCAAAGAGACGGCCACCCTTCTCAGGCCAGACCTCAAGAATGTCCCATCCACCCTGCACTGCAGTGGCAGGTGCAAGTGCCCCCACGACCCCTCTCAGGTGCATTCATTCACTGGAAGGAATCACAGCACTCAGGAAAGCTGGTGCACTTACGGTTACAGTTTATTACAATGAAGGGATGAAGTTAACAGTCACGTGAGAAGCCGCACGGGGCACTATTCGGGAGAGACCCTACACCAGCTCTCAGTTGCACGGACAGCACTGAATTCTCCCAGCAATGATGTGTGACAACACACAGAGTCTCACCAACCAAAGACGCTCACCTGAGCCTCGTTTTCCAGGGTTTTTATCCGGGGTACATCATTGCAGATGTGGCTGACCAGCCATGGAGCTGACCTTAGTCTCCAGCACCTCCACAGGTCAGGGCCCCCGCTATGAATCACACTGTGAGCATAGACTCTCTGATGCCGCCCACAACCCCAGGCAAAATAAGACTCCCATCAGCCAGAACACTCCAAGGGCTTAGGGTTACCTCCTGGAGCCAGGGGCAAAGGGCCCAATCTCTCTTTGGGCAAGATTAACCCCTTCCTGCCTCATGGAGCCACACAGACTATTCCAACTGCCAGATAATTTTTATAAGAATTTGACCTCTGGCCTTGAGCTTCGAAATCTCTGTATCCATGGCATCCCTTGGTTACAAGAAAGAGCTGCCAACCTTCGTCCAGAAGAGAACCCAAGTCTGGAATTCAGCTGCTTAGAGCTGTTCAAGGAGCAGGAACGATGGCGGACATGAACTTGAAGGATGTGAGATCCTAGCACTTTCTGTCAAGACTCAGGCCACGGGAGATCATCTGTAGCAGCACGCTGGGCTGGACAGGAACCCGGGGAACGGGAGCTAGTCATCCACCAAGGAAAGCAAAGTGTGAAAAACAAGAAGGAAGAGGTCCTGGGGGAGCAGAAGCTACAGCTGTTCAAGACACAAGACAGCCCTCAGACCAGGAAGGATACAGCCCAAGGTCCCGGAGGCAGAGGTGCTCAGATGCAACAGGTCTGTTTCCTATTTTATAACAGACGCTGATCTCGGGAGCAGGAACCAGAATTCCTCTTACAGTGAGACCTGTCTGTTGGGGAAGTACTTGGCAGGATGTAAGGCCGTGGGCCAGGGTGCTAAACTGGAGAGTGAGGCATGAGCTGCTGTGCAAGAGAAAACAAGTTCTTGGGGTCTTCTCTGGATGGAAAGGAGAGTGTGAACAGAGAAGAATGGGAGGAGTGAGGGGCAAGGGCGTGGCAAGGCCCATAGGGCTCCACAGTGTCAGGGAGACGTTGCTGCTACATAAACCCCTGTCCATCCCCAGCCCCAATATTAAAGTTAATTTATTACATCTGGAGTGGCTGTGTGCAAGGGAGGTCTTTTTGTAGGAATTGGGGAGGGGCTGCATTTTGTGTGGACTTTGAGCATGTGGGACAGAACCAGAGGTGTGGGAGCAAGATCCTGAATCGAGGAAGTGTCTGGGGGGCTCAGTCGGTTAAGCATCTGACTCTCGATCCCTGCTCAGGTCTTGATCTCAGGATCATGAGTTCAAGCCCCATGCTGGGCTCCACGGTGGGCATGGAGTCCACTTAGAAAAAGGCGAAAGAAAACTACAGGGACGTGAGCCCCCAGGATTCTCAGACACCCTGGGGAAAGTTCTTCTTATTTATCTCTCTCTCTTTAATATTTTTAACTAGGTCCTATGTAAACACCCCAAATCAAAAGTTATAAAAAGCAAGGGGGGTCTACTTTGAGTTAATTTGCACATAGAGAATAAGGTGAGGGTCCAACTTCACGCTTTTGCTTACAGATATCCAGTTTTGCACAACCTTGTGACTGTGATTAATGCCACAAAACTGTACACTTAAAAATGCCGAAATGGTCAATTTTGTCATCTCTTTTCCCACGATTTTTAAAAGTTGATAATGTAATATACCAAAAACCACCGAATAGTACATCTTATTTTTTTTAAGATTTTTATTTATTTATTTATTTTGTCAGAGAGAGAGAGAGGGAGAGAGAGCAAGCACAGGCAGACAGAATGGCAGGCAGAGGCAGAGGGAGAAGCAGGCTCCCTGCTGAGCAAGGAGCCCAATGTGGGACTCAATCCCAGGACGCTGGGATCATGACCTGAGCCGAAGGCAGCTGCTTAACCAATTGAGCCACCCAGGCGTCCCTACATCTTATTTTTTTAAGAATTTATTTATTGGGTGCCTGGGCTCAGTGGGTTAAGCCTCTGCCTTCAGCTCAGGTCATGATCTCAGGGTCCTGGGATCGAGTCCCACATCGGGCTCTCTGCTGCTGCTTCCTCCTCTCTCTCTCTCTCCGCCTGCCTCTCTGCCTACTTGTGATCTCTCTCTGTCAAATAAATAAATAAATAAGATCTTTTAAAAAAAAGGAATTTATTTATTTATTTGATGGAGAGCACAAGTATGGGAAGCAGCAGAGGGAAAGGGGGAAGCAGGCTCCCTGCTGAGCAAGGAGCCGGATGTGGAGCTCAATCCCAGGACCCTGAGATCAACCTACTGAGCCACCCAGGCACCCTCTGAATAGTACATTTTAGTTGGGGGAACTGTATCACCACATGCATAGTGGCTTCAAACACAAAATTATCTTACAGCTCTGGAGTCCGAAGTCCAGAGTCTCCTGGGGCTAGAATCAAGGTGTCAGCTGGGGCTGGTTCCTCTGGAGGCCCCAGGGGAGAACCCATTTCCTGCCTTTCCGGCTTCTAGAGGTGCGGCCAGCACTGCTTGGCATACAGCCCATCACGTGGCCTTTCCTCCTCCTGCTCCCTCCTTCCTCCTTCCTCCTGTGGCCTTCTCACCTCCCTCTTCCCTTTAAAGATCCCTGCGATTACACCGGCCCCCTCGGGTCATCTAGAATCTAAGTTCCCCGTCTCAAGGTCGTTAACTTAATCACACCTGCAAAGTCCTTTCGCCATATAAGAGAACATATCTTATCTACCACTCCCACCAGAACAACCAAGGCATTGCTTGTCAGGTAAGGTTATTAATGCACAGAGAACAAATAGGTATTGTTTTTTCCGTACTAGGTAGTGTCTTAGACACACCATTCTGCACCTTACTTGTATTAGTAGAGTTTCTGGAAATTCTGATGGAGTGTCTTCAGTTTTTTTACAAAAAGCCACATAGTGGGGCACCTGGGTGGCTCAGTCAGTTAAGCGTCTGCCTTCAGCTCAGGTCATGATCCTGGAGTCCTGGGATGGAGCCCCGTGTCGGACTCCCTGCTCAGCTACGAGTCTGCTTCTCCCTCTCCCTCTGCCTCTGCCCCTTCCCCACCACTTGTGCGCTCTCTCCCTCTCTCCCAAATAAAATCCTTTTTTTTTTTTTTTAAGCCACATAGTTGGATGCCTGGGTGGCTCAGTTGGTTAAGTGTCTGCCTTCAGCTCAGGTCACGACCCTGGGGTCCTGGGATCGAGTCCCACATGGGGCTCCTTGCTCAGCAGGGAGCCTAGTTCTCCCTTTCCTGTTCCCCCTGCTTGTGAGTGTGTGCTCTCTCTCTCTCTGTGTCATACAAATAAAATATTTTTTTAAAATGTAAACCACATAGTAAGTACTCCACAGGAGGATATCCGGAATATTTTTCAACCAAGACCTTACTGAGCAGATGTTTGTAGTATTTCTGCCCCTTTACCATTACAGTGATGTGGGGGGTGGCCTTGTGCCCTGTCACCCCCACCCCCAGCTCATGTTGACACAGGAGTGTAGGACACACTCCTGGAGGTGAAATTCCTAGTCAGAGAGTATGTGCCCCTATTACTGCGATAGATACTGACAAATGGTCCTCCACAGAAGTCTCTGTTCCCAGCAGTGATGGATGCAACTGCTTGTGTCGATGGGGGAAGCATCTGTGGGTTCCACAAAAGCCAGGAGTTGAGAGTGGACCCTGTATTTCAGTGTAGGAGTTGTATAAACTCCACATACGACTGAGAGAACCACGATCATCCATTCTGGACAAGGAAGGGGAGGGGATCTGATGGAGAGACTAAAACAGTCCCCAGCCCTCCCTCTGCGCTGCTCAGACTCTGAGGAAGGGGAGTTCCAGGCCGACACTACCTTGCCTTGAGGGGAGCTTCAAGATTCTGGAAACCTCTTGGTGGCAGACAGATCGGTCTCCGGAAATCTGAGTGAAAAAGGTGACCCCACATTTCCACTTCCAGGCAGGTACCCAGAAACACTGACACTAGGTCATCAGAGAAATACCCGCACACAAGTGTTCACAGCAGCACTATTCCCAACAGCCAACAGGCCGAGATGCCCCAAATGCCCATCAACGGATGGGAAACCAAATGTTATCTGTCCACACAGTGGAATGTTTATCCGCGAGAAAAGGAGGGAAGCACTCACATGCGCTACAACAGGAATGAACCCCAAAAGACTGAAAGAAGCCAGATACGAAAGGCTATAGGGTGTAGGAGTCCATCTGTAGGAAATGAGTGGGCAAATCCATGGAGACAGAAGAGAGATCAGCAGTTGCCAGGGCCTGGGGGAAGGAGGTGACAGGGAGTGACCGCTTAATGAGATTAGTCAGCTCTAGACACAGCAGGAACAAGTGGGACTTTTAACCAAGGTGCAGGGTGGGAGGGCAGCAGGTGCGACTTTACTAAGAGGTAACATCAGGGGTCAGGGGGATCCTGGCTAAACTGACCTGACAAGATTCTTGTCAGGGGGGCGAGGAACCTGATCCCACGTGGAGAGCAAGCAGCTATCAAGAGTGGGGAGTGGGGGGGTTCTGTTTAAACAGACTTAGGAGGCTACTTGCCAAAACTGGACAAAAAAAACATGAACACGGAAGTCCAAAACTCAGTTCTCATAGGAAGAGTGCAGGAAGCATAGGTAGAGTCCCATTATGAGAGAATCTCCATCAGTGAGGACACTTCAGGCGCCAAGAGGAGAGAACACCATCTCTCGCCACCACCCTCTCTCACCACCACTCCCCAGGCTGGAATTAAAAACAAGGAACTGGATTGTCTGTTTCTCCTGCAGGCACCACCTGTGGAGTTCAGCGGTGCTACTCTGCTATTTGTTCCATTTTCCACCACATATTCGTCCTCAGGCTGGTGCCAAGATGGCTGCTGCATTCAGGTCATCGCAACCAGAACCAGCCCCAGAAAAACAGGCCACCTTGTCCTGGGTGAATTTAACAAGCAGCCTTCTCTCCACGGTCATTGGCCAGCATTGCCCACAGCTCAGCCAATCCCTAGCCAAAAGAAGAGGACTACCTGGGAGGCTTGGGCCAATCAGGACCTGTTCTCTGGGGCTGTGGAAAAGCCAGGGCTGTCCTCTGGGGCTGCAGAACGGATGACAGAAGTCTGGGCCTCTGGTATCTATTAGCGGTGACTCTCTCTGGGTAGTTGGAAGGTGGGTGAATTTTACTCTCTACGTTTTGAGATCATCCTGTCTAAATTTCCTATATTACACCTTGACTTTTCTTTTAATGATGCAAAAGGAGTCAAAGTCATTATCTGAAGTAGAGACAGACAGAAAGGGAGAGAAGTGGGGCAAGTCATTTATATCAGGTTTGAAAAACTGCAGAGCCAATGCCATAGATTATATGGGGATGCATCTGGATGTGATCATAGTATGAAAACACAGGAGAGGGGCGCCTGGGTGGCTCAGTGGGTTAAGCCTCTGCCTTCAGCTCAGGTCATGATCCCAGGGTCCTGGAATCGAGCCCCACATTGGGCTCTCTGCTCAGCAGGGAGCCTCCTCCCCCGCCCACCGCCTGCCTCTCTATCTACTTGTGATCTCTCTCTGTGTGTCAAATAAATAAATAAAATCTTTAAAAAGAGAGAGAGAGAGAAGCTTCAGCACCTAGAAAATTCAGGATAACTGGCTTTGCTTTATAGGCTGCCTAGCCCTGCTTACAGAGCCTTTGCTCCAGGTAGTTAGTGGTGATAATGTATCAGAGTCCCTCTGACTCCTAAACTCCCCTCTTTCTGCCCAACCAAATTCCTACCAGAATGAGGCTGGTTTGTGCAATTTTGTTGCAGCCCAGACTTGGAGCTATCTCCCCTAGGTGGCTCCACTTGGAGACAATGGCTGGGTTTGCAACAATCTGTCTCCAGCAGATGGACAGAGAAACTTACAAAACTGCAGCCAGAAGGACTGAGGGAAAATCCCTGTGAACACTGCAGTAAACATCGCACAAAACCTTCCAGGCATTAGGGACCTTTCAGAAGTTGGGGGATCGGTAATTCCTCCAGAAAAAAATGCACTTCCCTTGAACAGGGTTACAGAGGGGCAGGGAGAATTCAGGAGGTAGCTCAAGTCCAAAGACAAGGTCAACACCATCACCATGAGACAGCTGTTACCTGCCTGCCAAACCTCCTGCA